CATTTTGGATAAAGATGTTTACGTCTTAATAGTGATAATCTGTGTACACGCATACCTTACAACAACAACCTCATCTGCTATTAGAGGACTGCTTTATAGCTTTCGTCATGGCCATCAAATCTTAACCTGGGTTTGTTGTCCAAACCTTTATCCGATGCGCAAAGCAAAATATTTTCCTAACCGCTCATATAAACTCTATTCTCATCTCTCGACTGAAGAAATCTCTCAAGCCACGACTAGGATGCCGAGCAGATATCGAAGATCCTCAGCGTAGTTCATTCCAACGGCCTTTTTTTCTTTTTTTTCTTTCGTTTTCGTTCTTTCAAATCCTATCTTCAAATTGTGATAATTCAGTCGTAGTGGGCGAATATCATCATTATTAAGTTGCAGCGGCTAGCCCAGCTTGCCATCTGCCTTGGCCTCTGTGTACGTGTTAGCAATTCTGTAAAAAAAGGCGCAGGGGACGAATATTATTTACCCTTGACTTGCTCAAATACCTTCAACATCTTCCTGCGAGCTCCGAGAGCATTAACACCGCGATCTTCCAGAGCCTTATCATCAAGTTCAATCAGATCCGTCCATTTCATGTCCTTCAAATTGTCAGTGTACTTGTGCAGTCTTAGGCTTCGAAGCCAGGCTGGTATATCTTGCAGAAGGGTCGGGTCAGTAGGATCCTCCGGGGGCTTCGAGGTTCCACGGCGTCCACGGGGCGATCGGCCACGAACCATATCCGAGTGGTCAGACAGGTAACCCTCGGGAACACCCACACCAAGTTGACCCATGTTGATAGCACCAAGTCCGTTGTTCAAGAGCGGGTTCTGTGCGCTATCATACGCACTTAGGAAGCCGTTATTTTGCGGAGAAGCAAAAGGCACTTGCCCGAAACCCTGCATTGCTATGCCAGGAGAGTTTGGACGAGATCTGTGGGCTGCGAACCCACCCATGATCTGATGGTTCTGTAGGGCAAGCATCTGATCTCTATTCAGAACCTGACCATGCTCATTGACCATGATGATGTTTGTGCCGGGGATATTTGATCCCTGGTGTCCAGATTGGAGAGAGTTCTGGCTTTGACCAGGTGCGTCGTTAGAACGGGCTCTCCGGTACTTGCGTACATCATCAAGGGCGAAACGATTGTTGACTGTAGATAACGCCGCGAGCTTCATTGCCGTCGCATTGGCCACCATGTCTGCCTGATTGGCGGAATTGCCAGTGTTAAATGTCGGAACCATAGGAGTGTTCACCATTGAAGCCCAATTTCCACTTCCAGCCGCGTATGGCGAGAGAAGCGGCAAATCGTTAGCCGACCCATCTGGGGCATTAAGCGTGGTACTTTGGATATTACCGCTGCCGCCTAGTTGGGGTCGAGGTGATCTCAAACCTGCCGAAGGTGGGGGCTGAACAAACTGACCCATGGGAGTCTGACCGGATGACGACTTGGGTCGCGAGCCACTTTGGTCATGGCTGTTGACCCAAGGCGACGCGGGGTTCTGTGCATTGGGATCAAGTCCTTCGGTCGGCGCGGAGATGGTTGGTGCACCTAGGGGGCTTCGAATATCTACGGCTGTACTGTTACGGTTTGAAGGAGGCTGGTTTCCGGTCTGTTGGGTAAACTTGGCCTTTTCAGTGGCAATGGCTGCCGCAGCATCAGGAAACATAGCATTTATAGTTGATGGGTCAAGCCCAGAGTGTCTCTTAGTAGACGCTTGCGGTTGCGAAAGCGAGTTCCTAGCTGATCCAACGTTCAATTTATTCATAGCATCGCTTAGACGGTTCGACATGGGATCTATGGAGAGTAAGGTAGTTAGTATTATATCACGGTAAATAGGATGGAACTATTGCCAAACACACCTTTGTCAAAATTGGCCGGGGATAGCACGCCAGACATGGGGTGGTTTTTCCCCATTTGCTGAAGGACCTGGATGAAGAAACGAATTTGGACCTGGGTAGTCTGCTGAAGCAAGGCATACAAAGCAGCAGTACGCTCAGCCTCGGACAGGACCCGAAACCACTGTTCAATAGCACTGAGTTCGTCCTTGAAATCCTGATCCAGGGTGGCGGCGGCCATTTCTTCCAGAGTTGTCTCGTACTGATCAATATCAGCAATCCATTGCTGGGTCACTTTGTCTTGTGGGTCTGCATCAGCGGCCCCTTGACCTTGGCCTTGTTGGCCATAGAAGTCCGAAGAGGGACGGATACGGTTCGACGTCGCGGGACCAGCAAGAGCGCCCATGTCAGCAGATGCGCGAAGGTGGTGATTATTAGTAGCGACTGTTCGTGACGACGGCGGACGGAGTGACGAAACAGTCGAGGCCTCCGGAGTGCTGTTTCGGTTCATGTTGGTAATATCGTTGAAGTTGTAGATTCTAAAGGGAGTTTCGTGAGATATCGTAGCAAATTTTCGGGAAACTGTAAATGGTCGTCGGTAGCTAAATGATGCAGCGAAAAGCTAATATTCGTGTCTTTGCCAAATAAAAAAATGCTCAGGTCTTTGCACGATAGCAATGAAGCAACGACGGCGAGACTATCGCTCGATGATATAACCTTGAGGAATTGTAGTTATAGTTGATATAATAGAATGCTGGAGTGATAGCGATGTCGATGATATTGCTAAATAGCCCGGCGAGGATTCGTGGTCAACTTGTGGCACTTTTCAGGGCGAAGAGACCGATGGGAATTAAAACGTCGGCGAATCAATTCAACAGGAAGTCTAGCGTAATAGCTTCCTATGTGCGTCGTTCGTAATATGATTGATTTGCAAGGCTCGAGCTCAACTCTCTAGCAGAGAACGATGGTAGAATACCTTTTTCTTTCTCTCGAGAACTCCTGCAGTAGCCTGCTGACCTCAAAGGAGTCTTTGAAAGGAGGCAGTTGGGAACGAAGTGATTACTGATAATGCAGAATATTAGATAGGTGACTGCGAGAAGTATATGTTAGTCAAAGATGCATCGTTGGTTGAAGATCAAGGCCGCCTCGACAGGGGAAGCGGTATGTATGCCGGATGACTGATCTAATCCGAAGATAAGGGATCTAGGTAGATGTAGGTACAGAATAGAGGCTGTATGACAGATGACAGTTTTGACGACATGTGAGGCAACGAAGGCCAGTCAAACTTGTCAAACTCGTCTGACATGGCGGTGATAGGTGCTAAATTTCCATGACCGTAATATTGTCCAAGGGGATTTTAATTCGGAATTGAATGCGACGAGTCACGAGATGCAGGAGATAAAAAAGCAAGTGGAACTTACCAAGCAATAACACTGAGATCAACTTCTACTCCAGGGCCAAAAAGAAAGGAACCAGCGGCAGGGTTACCCTCGAGCTGCTGAGGAAGAGGATGTGAAGGAAAAGGAAGGAGAAAAAAGAAGCTGTAGAGAATTGACTGGAGACTCGAGACTAGAGCAAAAGGACTGGCCAGATTCGGGCACAAAGCCTGGACTCTTTTCGGAAAGACCCTTGGCATAAAGGCTGCACTGCTGCACTGCTGCAAGAGGCTAAGAATCCTATGGATGGAAAGCACCAGCTCTCCAACAGAAGGCCGACCGCCCCGTAATCCGTAACCCTTTTTTTAGTGGATACATCTACAGCCCGCTACAGCCCGCTTCCCGGTCAATGTAGATGTTGCCTCAAGTATGTACATATGTACATGTATGTAAGTACATATGTTAAGTGTGCACCGCGTAAAGTAACATCCCCTACATACATGTAAGGCAGGTACCTTATTTTTGGTAAGGCGTTCTTAACCTTATTAGTCGGACGCAGCTTGTGCTGTCTAAGCCTTGAGGCAAGAAGTGTCGACTTGCATGCGTCTACTATGTAGACGGTTCAGCGCTAAAATTCAATCTAAATGTGCGACAGTAGCACAGTACCTACAGCGTACAACATTGGTACCTAGGACCACCAATTGTACCAACTAAAATAACAGCAATGACGAAGTCTTTTTTTGCCCCGGAAGGTTTACAGTTACAGCCCCTGAATTACACATTACATCCATTGCAAATACCTGCTGGAGAGGAATCATTGCTTCGTACAGGTCCCCTATTAGTGCGGCTAGGAGAACTCGAAACGCCTAACTTGTCGGCTAGGGCGTGATCATCCACACACCCTTCATGTTCCATCTATCGAAGAACTGGTAGACTGGAGCCCACGGCGGCTGTGAACTTATGCAAAATACATTAAGAACACGTATACGTTCAATTTATATGTATTTCATATCGATCATAACTGGCTATTTCTAACGACGGTATCTAAAACAGAAGGGTATGAAGCGTATCGTCGGAAGTTGTCTCAAGTTGGTCTGAATCTTCGACACTACCTAAGGATACTCTCGATTGCATGCCATACTTGTAGCTCTAAGCACAGATCTTAAGACATCACACATAGGATATATCTCACCCAAGCCAAGAAGCATGTGAAGACTCTTCGTATCACGTGACTTCGATCATGATGCTGTAAGATGCGGTGGTTTAGAAACTCATGACAATTGGCTTGTCTACTTGTCCTATTAAGCAGATATGCTACAGTATGTGGTAAAATGATGAGTTCATTGACAAAGCAAAATAGACCATCTGGGAATGTTGCCTAGTCTCCATGCACTCTTGCCTTAGAGCAGGTCGAAGCACGAGTGTTTGGTAATTGACTGGCGAATCGCTCTCGGCACGAGAAGAAATATCCTTCAGTAGATAGGCATGGGGTAAGCCTAGAACTGTACACACATATGCCGTTTTGTCATCACGTATTGGTCCAACTTACGGTTATACTGGGCGCAGCGGGAGGGAGAAAAATCGCAGGGGCGCAGGAAATTCGTTGGCGAATGTAACTCAGTTGGTTACCTCTTCTTCTTCTTCTTTTTCATTGTAGAAGACTGTGCCTGGATACAAGCAGCAAATGCATAACCTTGACTCCTTGATCATGCCTGAACAACCCCAAATCGTGCCCTGATGCGCATTCGCGACGTCGTGTCTCGGAACCCATTTATCCACCACTTCATGCCGTCTCTCGCTTGCCCTCCTTCAGCTCCTTCTGTATTGATTGTTAGTATATGTTTATTTGCGAAATCCACATAGTCAAGTTATGTGTGTGCGATAGGGCGAGTGACGTACCAAGGCCCTCATGGTGCCGTGAAGAGCATGTCGATGGTTTCTTCGGAACTTGGGGTCGGTTCCCTTCAGAGACGGGTATCTGTTGGTCTTTGGCTTCTTGATACTACACATCACCAATTTGTCAGCCAGGATTCGGCGGGTGTAGACTGTCTAGAGTGCTTCATCGAAACAGCTCTGTCGACTCGAAATGGACATACCCGTTACGGTGAGCCTTGCGCGACTGGTTGTGCTGAGACGAGTTCTTGGACTCTATGATAAAATTGTGAGCTGTCCATTCGCTGATAATTAGAGCATAATATTCTTAACTTACTCGCCATTGTGACTGGATTGACGTCGGGTTGTTTGGGGAAACACGGTAATCGACGAAGGTTGATGTTGTCAGTGAAAAGATGGAAGTTCAGTTGGTGCGTCTGCTATTACCAGTTGTGGGCAGAAAATTAAGCGAGGGGTCAAGCCACAGTGTTTTAACAAATGATAGTGGCTTTGTAAGAATTGTGCTACCTAAGGTGGGGTGTCACAACATTAATGTACCCAAGTATTTTCACCTACCTGGTTCCAATGTACATGTGGCACATGTCCTGGAGACATTAAAGACATAATTCAAGCCAAGATACCTCTATCTCTCATGGCAAGTATAACACAGAGGTGCTTTTGTTTCATCCAATTATTAATTTGCGCTAAAACTATTGACTTCGGTATGAATATGATTCTAAAACATCCCTAAAAGACATTCTTATATACTTGCGCCTAGCCTGCCTGTACTCCTAACTCATAATCGATTATATAAATGCATTGTCTCTTGTTTAGTATATACTTGCGTATATGTATTTTCTTTCGCCTCTAAAATGCTTCTCTAAGAGACTCGGCTACTTGATTGTAACGGGAACGGCGAGCTTCGCTCTGGAAGCAGTGGCTGCCGCCAACTCAGCTGCTTTAGCGAGGTGTTCTGACCGAATCTTACGAACATATCTGAATAGGAGGATAAATAGAAATTCCATCCTATAAGCACAAGTTAGTATATAAGTGCCTATAATCGATATAATAAGTGTGCTAAAACTTACCGCTCTTTAGTCATCATGAGTATTCCCTGCACCAGGAACCCTTTTATAATCTGGGGCCCAATGCCCTTGAAAAGGCTTAGCAGACCTTCATGCTTGATAATAAATTGCATCACTTCGATGAAGCCCTTGAATGGCTTTCCCTCACGTTGCGGTGGGGGTTTCGATTGCAAGCCAACTTTCGCAACTATTAGAGGTTGTGTCACAATTGTAGCTAAGGCTTTCGACGTAGCACCAAGGACTGTATAATTTTGGTTAGTCTACCCTTTCGAATCACAGCAGGGTATACTTACGGAAAGCTTCTCCTGCAGTCAAGCGGGCCTTTCCAGGGAAGAAAGTGCCCTTTAATCGCTCATACGCGCCATATGTGATAGCAGGGTTGACTACCAGCACCAAGCTAGCTTTCAGTCCCCTCCAAAGACCGAAGAAGCCATCCTCGCTTTCAATAACCTCGCGAGCCGTATCTAGGAGGCCTTTCCTATCCGCTTTGCTTTGTGTTTGCTGTCTCGTCGTGACCACGGCCACCGGAATCGTAAATAACTGAGCTACGGCACCAGCTATGGCGCCCAGTACCAACTCAACAGCCGTGGACGGCGGCGCCGGAACCTTCTGCGATTTGAAGTAAAGCTCTCGCACGATCGAGTACCAATAAAAGTAGGCGAAATTAGTCGAGGCGACTCCTAATAGCGCACCATTCATTCCCGCATATAATCCTTTGACTCCATCCTCCGCGGTGATCTTAGTGATAGCATCCCACGTCGACGTGTAATGAGGATCGGTGTATTCGCTCGTATCGCCAGGCTTTCGTTTAACCTGGACCTGCAAACGTGTCTTTACTCTGTAGAAACAAACATGTAATTAGTACCGATTCCGCGCAAACCCGAAGAACAGCTTACATATCCAACGGATATACTAAGGCATTAGCTAAAACGGCGCCCGTAGCACCAGCTACGGCAAAACCCCATGACGGTAGCGGAGCAGGTTTTGACTGCACAGCCATAGCAGCTAGTCGATATCTCCTACAATTGAATATGGTATATCCTCCTCGATCGAAGGCTCACACTCTAGGAACGTTCTGGTTGACGACGCCGGTGTTTATGGGACAAGATTAAATCGCAATTGACAAATCGAAGGCCGGAAGTAAGACTACCTGCACGAGCACGGATAAAGCCCTATGGTTAAAAGCCACTCGGTTGCTTTTTGTTTTTAGTTGCTACCGCACCATGAAATATAGAATGGAGGGATGCGATTCAAATGTCTGTATACATTTCCGTAAAGTACTAGCCTAGGCCACTCTAAGAAGTAATTATAAAGAAAGAGGAAAATACTAATCCCCCGGGTCTGCACAGGACAATGAAGCTATCCTGACGTCGTCACTCCGGTGATGCGAAAATCGGGGATCTAAGACGCAAAGCCGAGTTTAAAAAGAGCGCCCGTGAATAATGGACCTCGGCCATTGCTGGCTGGCCCACCCTCGTCGGCAACTACCTATGTACCTAATGTAGCCTAGGTACGGATGACCCTTTCAAAAGTTTTGTCCATAGGAAGACCCCTGCCAGGCCTGATACGCACTGACCATGCTTAGTGACAGCTGCTCACCTATTTGAAGCATGTATCATATTATACCCTATCACTTTTAGCCACGATATTTCCTTTCAAAAACATTACAAAATTATAAAAAGTCATAATTATATAAATAATTAAATTAAAAGTTATATAATCTTTTTTTCTACTTTTTATTCCATTTCTCCGTCGGTTTATAGCTTAAAATATAAAATAAGTATTTTATATATACATTTATTTTTATGTCGCAAGGTGTTGGCCAATCATGGTCAGTGCGTGTCGGGCCTGACAGGGGTGCCCTATGGACAAAACTTTTGAAAGGGTCATCCGTACATGTAGGAATGCGCACGAATCAAGTTGAATGCTGGAAGAAAGTGCAGGTCCACTCCCGGGACGTTGTTAATCCGGATATGTAATTGACCTGAACCTGCCCGATTCCATACCTTTTTGGTTCCAGTGTCATTACCTTATGTAATAATGTCTCCCTTATCCTTAAGCCAGGTGCTTATCTGTGCAACATAATAGAAAGTTTGACAACTAATAAATCCACAGCTAGCAACAGCCCAATTCATAAAAAGCTCCGAAGGCACCATCGTAAATCATCACGCTAGAACACTCACAAACATGTTTTCAATGTGGGGTGGTAATAGGTAGGTCAATTATCTCACCAGCTACTTCCTATACAAACTTCGAAATGAAGTAACATATCGAATCGTCTCTTTTACTTCGTCTCTTTTATATATACCTACCTATATATATATTGATGTCATTCGTATCGTCCACCCAGTTGGAGCTTTACCCATACATACAATGAGATGCGTTGTCTCCGTGGGCCATGTCAGTTATTTATAACGTAACACCGTTTTCTTCGACACCTACCCACATAACATAGGTCGTTAAACACGAACTTATATCCCGTTTTACATGTCCTAGAGAGGTCCAACAGACGGGTTTCCGAGAGATATGATGCTGTTGTTGTTTGCCAGTAATAGTTGACGTGGAGTTTCTAATTGTGCTCCCGGCCTTTGCCTACTAAATCCCCTGCTCACCTAGCGAGCGCAGTCGATTCAGAACCTAGATGCCACGATAACTAAAGCAGTTAAACCTATCCTCCATGGAGGCAAAGGCAAAGGTAAATAGTAATCTCAAGGGAAACCATTCTAAATCTAACCATGTTTAGGAACAAGAGGCACTGTCCTCCAGGACTGAAGGCAGAGAAGCCCTCGATCATGCTACATCGGCTGCAGAATTATATATGAAAGCAGCCCAAGTGGCGTCCAGCCCCGAAGATAAAAGCCGTCTGATTAAAAAATGCCAATCGTTACTCTCTAAGGCCGAGAACCTCAAGAAGTTATGTCAAGCTAGGGGTAGCGTCGCTATGGTGGAGAAGCGTCTGAGGCTACCACGTCCAGTACGCAAAACCCCTACGAGCGAGCAAACCATCCTACTTCGTAACTCTCGGCTTTATGGAAGTATCTTTCCGCCGTGGGACTCAGATCCCACCCCTAATGAATTCACCGGCAATGTTTTTAACGATCCTTCAAATTTTTCATTATCTACTCGCCAGGAAGCCGTTTTCTCGGGCTGGAAACGTCCCTTGGAGATTTTGGGTCGAGAGACCCCGCCGAATTCTGCTGAACAGAACAATGACTTCCTAATGGAGGCCCAACACGACTATGATCTAGTCCAGGATATAACAACAGACTGCTCTGTCGTTGCAAGCCTTTGCGCCAGTATGCGTCACCTGCGTCCGGGCCCTACATCTATCCTACCGGCCCTAATGTTCCCCATAGACTCCGAGAGCGGACGGCCGAAGTTCTCTGCCAACGGGAAGTATGTGTTCCGCATGCTCTTCAACGGCTGCTTCCGGAAAGTTGTCATTGATGATCGCCTCCCTTCATCCTCAACGGACCGCACCCTATATGTTGTAGACCGTCAAAATCCGAATCTCATCTGGCCTGCCCTCATGGAGAAAGCCTATTTGAAGGTTCGGGGCGGGTACGACTTCCCAGGAAGTAACTCCGGTACTGATCTATACGTCTTGACGGGTTGGATACCGCAGCAACTGTTCCTACAGAGCGATGAGGTAGACTGGGACCGCACATGGAAGCGTGTCAAGAAGGCTTACGATTACGGCGACGTAGTAGTGACGTTAGGGACAGGGCGGCTTTCATCAGATGAGGAGGAGACGTTGGGATTAGCAGGAGAACACGACTACGCGGTCCTTGATATGTCCGAGACATCAGAGAGTAGGAGACTACTGATCAAAAATCCATGGTGCGACGGTCTCAGCTGGAAAGGGGCAGGGTCGTTCGACACATCACATCAGGCAACAGATGATCACCCCGTTAAGTTGAAGCCAGGCTCCTTCTGGATCAGTTTCGATGATGTGACACAGAACTTCGAATCTCTCTATCTAAATTGGAACCCGAGCCTCTTCACCGAGCGCCAGGACCACCACTTCACCTGGCAGCTCCCCGAGGCTACTATGGCTGGCTCCTTCGCACACAACCCCCAGTATTCTATGTCTACTGCGGTAGACGGCAGCACCTGGATTCTGCTAAGCCGTCACTTCCAAGACGAAGAGCTCAATATTATGCGCAAGTACCGTGCTACCGCCGACGACGATGCCACCATCTCCTCTCTCGCCGAGGTATCTAGTAGACTCGGCTTTATAAGTATATACATATTTGCGAATAGCGGAGGCAAACGTGTGCAACTAAGCACCCAGCCCATCTTCCGCAGTGACTTTATAGACTCCCCGCAAACGCTCGCACCCTTCGAAGCCAAGCGTGGTGTCACTTACACCGTTGTCGTCGCCGCTCAAGAACTACCCCTCCCACAGTACTCCTTTACCCTGTCATTCTTCTCGCGCGCTCCTCTTGTCGTCGCCCCAGCCGAGCCCGTGTTGCGTCACTACATAGACGTGAAAGGATCCTGGACGCGCCGCACCGCCGGCGGTAACGCTGCTTCTTCCAGTTACCTAGACAACCCTCAGTTCAGCCTCGTTCTCCCCCGAGCAGGACCTCTTTCACTCCTACTATCTACCGCACGCGATGACCTACCCGTGCACATTGACGTGGTGTGGGCTGGCGGTCGCCGTGTCACGGCCGTCGGAAACCGTGATCTAGTCGTCACGTCGGGCGACTACCGGCGCGGCTGCGCACTCGCCGAGGCACCCGCCGTCGACGCCGGCACTTACACCGTCGTATGCTCGACTTTTGAACCAGGCTGCCTGGCCGACTTTACACTACGCGTCGGTTCCGATATTACCTGCGCCGTGGCCCCAGTGCCAGCCGACGCCGCAGGCCGCTTGCGCACGCAATTACCGGATCTTGTGTTCCGCGGTCCATCGCCGTCTTCTTCGTCTTCTTCATCTTCTGACAGCGAAGTTCACAAAAAGAAGCGCGCCGCCATTTCAGCAGCTCGGCTCACGCGCGCAAGCGTCGTCGTAACAATGCGAGACAACTATTGCGCCACACCCCGAGGAGGCGCCAGCACGCCGCGATCGCACCCCACCGTGCGCGCGAGCATCGAATACGGCACGGGGCCCGACAAACTAGTCATTGCGTCTACGGACAGTACCACCAGCAGCACAGGCGAGTTCAGAGAAGTCGGTGCCAACGGGCTGCGCACGGGCGAGTTCGATATCGATCCCCGCCGCGGCGGGCTATGGCTTGTCGTCGAGCAGTTAGGTCTATACCACTCCCCGCCGTCGATAGGTGACGGTACCGGCGGCGAACTGCAAGTAGAGATCCTCAGCGAGGGACCGGTACAGGTTGGGATGTGGGAGACGGTGAACGTGTGATCTGACCGAGTCAAGTTGATTATTACGTGGTTTATTATCTGAATATGAATACCTACCTATATACCTCTAAGAAAGAATCAGAACGTCGACAAGGAGTAACATAGGAAGCGATACGGAGAAGATTACGAGCGGGTGGTTTATGTTGTATTAACGGAAATAGAAGAGTAGCGTGGTGCGGTGGGTAAGGAACACAAGGATAAAAGAAAAAGGGCTTTCTATGGTACCTGACGTATTACACGGAACTAGCTACCTAGGTTGTTAGCTAGTTAGCTATACATCCATATTGCTTTTCGGGATTTTGAAGCGTTTATTACAAGGCAAGAGAGGGAGAGAAAAAAAGGGCTCCATATATAGTATTCTTTATTTTTCTTCATTGTCCCTTTCATTTATCGGGTCTCTATTCAAAAGCTGCAATATAGTGGACGTGGATAATTCATGGTTTTGTATTCTACGTTACCTCGATGGAAGAGCGTAGATGGCTAGCCATACCTAGGTACGTAGGAGGTAACCACCAATTCTCCCATCTTATGGCTTGCTAGCTAGCAGGAATTTCCATAGTAGCCAGTGTAGGTACATACGTAGTACCTCCTGCTACGCAACTATGCCCCTCCAAGTCTGAACATGGACATGAACACGGACATGGTGAGCAAGGTAAGGTAGGTAGGTAGATTTCTCGCCAGGCTAACTAACTTAGCCAGCCAGCTATATGATGCGAAGCACTCCTCGACTATCAACCGTCGTATCAAGGTTACCTAGCCCTATTCCGAGCTGCCCCCTGCCTTTGAATAATGCATGCGGTGGTGAGGGAAAAAGGGGGGGATAAAATAAGCGAATGAGTAGGTATATGTAGTGTATGTAGAACAAAACGTTCGCAGACATAAAAAAAAAAGCAAAAGAAAAAAAGCCCAACAATAAGCACTCCCCTATGTGGTATAATTGGCTACGCCCAGAACGCCAACTCCTCCCGTTTGGTCGAGGTATGATCCGTAGAAGCCCCCGGTCCCTCAATCAAATATCGACGACGCGACAACCAGCGTCCAAAGCTTTAGAACCAGCCGCCCTCCGGGATATCATCTGCACCATATGTACATCTAAAATAGAATGGCAATATATCGTATCGTCAGAAGCATTCATTCTTCGCGTTCCTCGTTTTTTTTTCCTCGTTACCCCGCTCCCCCAAGATCTTCATGGACCGCCGCGACGTCTCCGTCCTCTGTTAGGTCCGTCCGGGCGCTGCGAAAGCACGTCGCGAAGGGCCGGGTCATCCTTATCTTTATCGACATGGTGGACCCGTACGTGCCTAACTCTACGATTAAAACCCGCTTGATTGCCTTTGTTAGTCCTGAAGAAATATCTCACCTTTGCAGATTATCTGGCCTGGGGTACTTGTGCTCCCGATCTGGACAGAACGGACACACGTACCCAGGCGAATCATGGACGAGACCATGACGGATCATTTCATTTTTACGCTTGAAGCCTTTTCCACCCTCGCTTCGCGGACATCCTTTTACAGAACAATAATGCGGACGGGCGGAAGAATGTACGTTTGCATGTGAGTTGAGCAGATATTGTGTCTGGAACGGGGGCGCAGTGCAGCCTTGTACAGTACAAACGAATGCGCCAACCGCGGGATTTGTCATATTATCAATGCTCATCCGTTCTGTGATGGAAGTAGCAGGTGTCGAAGTATCACCACCGCTACCACCTGGAGTGTCCGCATTGCTGCCACTACTATAATCCTGACCAGATCGATGATGGTTTGTGTTATTGCCACCTGGATAGAAAAAAGGACTCATAGCAGGGAGGGTGTGAGCTGGGGAAGGCATGCCTGGGCGATACGCATCATTAGGAGATATCGGAGGTGATGCATGGCTCCCGGGGATCCCGCCCATGCGCGGTGGGCCACCTGGGGGGGAGTGGGGATACTGAGGTCCGCTACGCATCGCCAGTTCCTTCGGAGGACCTGTGAACTGATCGAGCAGCTGAGCCCTTATAGAGGGCAGCGGATCATGGTTGGTCGAGTCGGATTTCGGGGACACCTCTTGGATCGGAGGCAACTCCCCACGATCGGTGGGAGTATTTAAACCAGGCGGCGATCGAACATTGTTTGGATGCATCAGGACCTGACTTGGGGTGTAATTCCGAGGGGAATACATCTCTTGTGGACCCTGCGACGCATAAGGAGAGATAGGCGCCTGAAGAACGGGTCTGTTTGCATCTTTCATCGCGATGTCATCTCGTGCGCCATTTGTCCTGAAGCTTGGAGCGGGCGTCGCTCTTTGCGCAACTCTAGAATCGTCATCAGCTATTTGCGAATCATCCGTATCTACCGGTTTCGATGCCGCTTTAGCAGCAGCGAGCGCGTTTGTCGCAAGAAATTGTAAATCTATGGACTTTGATACTGACGACTCGGCAGCACGAAAAGCACGGCGATGTGCAGGACCTGGGGACATCTCGTGACTCCTAGTATCATCCTCGTCCCCCGACTCATCGACCGTTTCTTCCGTGTCCCCTTTACTTTGTCCGTCGTCCTCGTCGTCCTCGTCGTAATGAGCGAGCGGTCGCGACCATGCCTCGGCGACGATTTCGGGCCGTTTTCCACCGTCGAGATAATGGATCAGCACGGCATCGCCGAGGCTCGGACGAACCTTTTGCCGTCGATTAGAAGATATCCGACCCGAGCTAGAAGAAAGACTGACTTTAGGAATAGGTAACGCCGGCGGGGAGGGCGAGGGTTCGAGTTTGGGGCGGTGAGCCTTCATCAAGGGACTGTTCTGGGGTAAAACGTCATCCGGGTCGTACACGTCGCTAGCTGAAGGGTCGTGAGCGAAGGCCGAATCGACGGTCGCAGTCATGCTTTCACTCTCTAGCATGGAATGGCCGTTACTCACGCATTGGGCGACTCAAGTCATCATCAGAAAACCAAAATAAAGATTGTCGGTTGTTTTGTGGGAGTTTGGATTAAATTGCGCTAACGTGATTTAACACTATCGAAGTCGCGGTCGCCCTCCCATTCGCATATAAGTGAAGCTGCGAAGTTGTGAAATGTTATCCAGGCGCACACCTGTTTACCAAGTCGATTGGGCAGACGGGCTCGACCGTTAGTTGAGTAACGCCGCGCACTGGGCTTGTCTGCCGCAACGAGCCGCACGCGGATTGGTGGGGACTGGGACTTGGACCCTATCGCTAAAATACGAGGTGGTTGTGCGCGCTATCCAGCTCAGAACTGAGCAGTTCCTTGGCCAGAATGCGCAAATTGGCAGAGCCGGAGGAAAAGGAAAAGAAAAGGAAAAGAATAAAAAGAGCAAGGGGGGAGTTGAAAAATAAAGAAGGGGAGGGTTCGGTTAGAATCAGACCTTTGGAGAAGGATGCGGTTAATGATAGATTTGGGTTAGACAATAGAAAGTAGATACGGTACGGTGACAGTGGGTATAACGGCAAGTATGTCCTGTCCTAGATGGGGGATGGGGGGGGGGAAGGGATGGGAAGACGGAGACTAGCTTGCAATGTGGATTTGAAGTTGCTGCCAAGGACTCAAGCCAGTATATCAGTATATCCTCGTGACCGCCGAAGATTCGACTTGAGATTGGAGTGGTACGGTAGTGCTGCGTAGGTAACGTCGTGGTAAGGCAGGTCAAGTCAGGTCAGGTAAGGTTTGGCGCAAATAATGTAAGGCGGGGGAGAGATGCTGCGGAGCCGCGTTTTCTTCGCTCTGACTTTGTGTCTGGGTTGTCTGGGTTGTCTAGGTTGTCTAGGTTGTCTGGGTAAGTGGGATGGGGTTGATGGGACGCGCAGAAACATAGGCTGGCCAAGACCTTAGCCCTTAAGTCTTGGCTAGACAGGCTAGATAGGCTAGTCTAGTTTGACTAGTGTGTAGGTACTGTTGTATGTAGACAAGCAAGCAGGTCGTTATCCTTGGATTTGGCGCTGGTAACCCGATGGGATCGGATCAGTCAAATTGCCAGATTGCGCCGTGTGATAGGCAGGTCCTAAAGGCAAAACCCGCATTTAATAAGACCGGGGGTTTATAAGCTTTCTGCTTGGACGAGGTTGCAGGGGTCGGTAATCCAGAAGGGATCCTGACAGGAAAATTCAGGTCAGAAACGATGTCTCTTCCGTCATGTCGCTTCTGGGACTTGATGGATGGTGGGGAACCCTTGGGAAGCGGGAAGAGAAAAAAAGAGGTGTGAGGAGTTAAACCTGAAAGGAAAAAGGGAAAGGAAACGATCAATGCGAAGCCATGTTACAAGGATCTAGGGAAGGAGAAGCGGGAGATACATAAAACATAGTAGGTTTTTTTTTGGAAAGTGGAATACGCCAATGTGGTAATGGTAAAGCATTGACCTAACCCAGTGTACATATACAGCATATACAACATAGGTATACAACATAGAGATATACAGCAAATACAACTACAGCAATTATACATAATATAACTCATATAAAATGGATGTTAGAAGGCACGTCTTTTTCCAGGGTTTCCCGTGTCTAAGAGCCCAATTGAGGGATAAGTCTGGGGATGTTGTACGAATGGCTCCACTGATGGTGAGAGGTTGAACGGACCAAGAAGGAAGAGGCGTGCGGCGAAGAATGCGGCTGCGAGTGGATGGTCCAAGGACTGGACCTCCATGCCATCAGGTCCCAAGGAAAAGAAACATATTGGAAGTCACTTACCTACCGCACCGGTAGCACGAGGTACCTTCGTATCTACGTGCTTGTACCTAATTCACGTACCAGCGGTACCCTAGTATCAGCGTACCCGCGTACCCGCGTACTCCAATCTTTTGTACCTGCCGCCTTAACTGGGCTATCCCCGTTTCCGCCGTCTAGCGGCTTTTTTAGCGACTTTTCCTGCCTAGCGAACTTCCAAGTTCCAAAGCCTCATCAACACCCCGGCTTTTCGATCCTGCTTCGGTGCGGCAGCCTCGGCAGCTAACCGTCCTCCCAGAGCTCAGAGAAGCAATACAATTGTGTAAGATTCACAATCCCACTGCACTGCAACTGCAACTGCAGCAATCCAGCGATGGGATCCGTTGCCCCTCGGCTCTCGGGGGGTATTTCTCCTATACGAATTTCAAACGCTCTGCAAATTCGCTCGAGAGTCAAGTCCTGCGCTACTCTTGTTATATGCAGGTAGGCAGGTAGACAGGTAGGCAATGTTTGTATGTGTGAATAGGTATGTGTCAGTCAGACGACAGCAAAATCGACAAACGAGTGATAGCGCGACGGATTTGATGGGCGAGAGATGCGTCCAACTGGGTGAGGGTACGAATAGAGTGGGAATTTTGATGTCGAGTCGGGTGTGTCAGATGGGACTAGAATATCTAGGCCGGCTTTTTGCGGGGATAAAGGCACCGATCAGACAAATACAGCGCTCGCTATGTATGTTGCTATGTAGCAGGTAGTATTGGAAAGATGCGGCGATCCAGATAGCGATCCAATATTGATTACTAGGAGGGGCGTATGGGCGTATACCAGTGGAACTACCAATACCCTTCATTCAGACGTACTCGAACGTCATATAGCACAACTTCCATAGGATAGTAGTGGTCCAAGCAAGAGGGCTTAGCAGAGCAATGATAGCGAGTCGAGAGGATCATAGAGAAGGAGAAAGAAGGGGATGTAAGAGGAAGAAAAAGGTGTACTGCATTCTACATATTCACAAGCGTAAATCTTCTCGGCTGCCGTAATCTCGTTGGCTCAGCCACTTTGAGGTCAGTGCAAGTAACCGCGGCGAGAATTCATGACACACTATCAGGTATCTACGGGGTGGGTTTTGCGAATCTGGGGACTACTATGTACATGCGGTCTGTGCCTCTTGGCTATCCACTCAATACGCGCGAAGGTGAGCGGCAGTATCTATCTATCTTCGTACGGATACAGGGCGACTCGATCTAGGATGAGGCGGGGTCGCTTCGCATATACTCTACATACATATTATGTATACTATTATGTGCAAGAATGCGGCACGACCGGATCTATATATGGGAAACTAATAGGTTTCAAATTCAACTTAGTTACTAAAGATAATCACTCAAGATATCCATTAGTTATACTGTATTATATGTATTACATAGTTAGTAGAAATAGGGAGGGGGAATGGGTTCCAAGGGAAGGGGAAGAGGGCGGGGGGGAATTCCCACGGGAGCTGGAAAGGCTGGGACAAACATATTACATAGTAAGATAACTAGTTACTCATAATAAACAAACTGAATGGGGAGATGTGCTCTCAGCTTCCGAGCCTGGATATGACGATTAATGGGGTCAATGTGTAAAAGAACGCATCTATTCTATTTGTCTCTAACAACGTGCCGCCCACGCAAGAAAGGGTAGCACTATACAAAAGCCACTCAGAATGGACGCATGGCAGCACGGACTCATGGAGGAGTAAAAGGGTCTAGCCCAGTATATGTGACGTGGAACTTGATAGAGTACCTACCTCCTAAGGTACATACATATCGCACCATGATACAGCCGCATCTGCAAGCCGCTGACCGCAAGACCCGGCAGCCCTCTAACGATGCATGGATGCCTGCGGGAAAGGGTATTATTGATGTATATTTATTAGTTCTTATTAGCACATATCTTTCGCTAGGCTAGTCAGAAGGATCAGGCACGCCTGCGACCCTCTGGCTGCAACTTTTCTGGTTGAAAAGGCCCTACTCTACATGGCGAAAAATATCACCGAGACAAGATAATTAGACGTCGAGTTGTCGGTAGACCGCAATGCGTCACTTATTAAATCTTGGGTCGCGATCCCGGTAATAGAAAGAGGAGTTGTGTGCAGGGTCTTTGGCCGCTCGCTCTGTGGGGACATGGACAAAGCATGGGAGGCCTCTTGGAAATCGATCTTAAACTACTTGCCCAAAAAAGATGTGTCCGCGCGCACGAGAGAAGAAGAGGAAGAGAAAAAAAAAAGATTCGACAGGACAGGACAGCTCCAAGTCTCTCTCTCTCTCTTTCTCGTTAGCCCGAGGCTCGCTTCACTTTCCACTTCAGCTCGAAGGTGACGAGTGGGCCGCAATTCCGGGCACACATACATACATTAGTAGATAAATACTAAGCTTGAAACCGTCCAATAGCTCCAAGAAAAAAAGGATAAAGGGATAACATAACTACGATGACGAAAATAGTCCGCGGTCTACATATTCGATTTGATGCCGAGGGATTGGCTGTGGGAGGGTAATCCGCTGCGAGAGGATCCCCGTATGAGTGAGAGATAGAGATAATATTGTGGGGGGGGGAAACATACTTGAAGGAGGGAAGATGGAGGGTCCCGTACCACATACATAGCACATATAATACCCTACTACTCCATGTCGTCGCCAACAAATTAGATGCTTCAGACGGTAGACTCACCTGCATGATAAATGCCCTCATCCATGTACTCCGCCGCATATACGTAAGGAGGTATATGTAGTCATAGGTATAACCTAGTCGTAATATTAATAAGAGGTCACAATGTGTCTGACCTGGACTCTGACCAAGTCCCATTCACGCGTGGGAAGGCCTTGGTATGACGGTTATTAAGGGCTTCATGAGACTCCTCTTCTCTCGTTTCATCTTGGCTATTTATCTATCACATACAAGCTTACAACTTCTACTCGTCTTCTATTACCCAAGGATACCTATGCCAACCTATATATATATATATATGTATCTAATAACATTAGCCTTTCATCATCTCATCATCCCATCATCCCCCCGCAGCTCTGAACCAGGATGTATATTCATGCGTCTCGTCTTTCTCACAGGTCCTCGCGGACTCGCCTTTTCTCCAATGCCATCGCAAATAGTCCGGCCTAGGGCCGGGAAGCAGGACGAAGATCGGCCATGCTCATGCTCATGCTCGACTTCTAACGTACTATGTATGTATGCAATTGGACCTCACAACGGTCATGACTGGTTGCCTATCAAGCCTATGACCTGCACGACCCAGAAAGAGAGTTATTTTTCTCACGCCGTCCGCGGCTGGCTGATTCATGTGGTGATCCATTGCCGTCAATAGGTAACGTTGCCGGTGCAGAGTCTGCAGACCCCAAAACCACCCTTTCTACATTACATGCCTCCTGGCAGTTTGCATTAACTGCTCCATTTAAAAAAGCTCTCCCATCACGACTTACTCCAAGACCAACACCATGACTAACGCCATGGTGCGTGTGATAGTTGGTCTATAAACTATGTACTATATATGCATGTATAATACGTATAACGTATAACGTATGTACGTATGTACGTATGTACGTAGAGTCGTACGCGCAACTAGTGAGGCGGTGTCCGATTAGGCTGGCGGCTCAGCGCACGCGATGACGCCTTGTTGACACTTAGCTGTCGCGATTGGTCCCTTCGGATCATGTCTTTAAAGACAAACCGCCATCGTCACATCGCATCTTCTCCTTTCACTATACCTGTGGCTTCCCTTGTACGCCCTCTGTCGTCGGGAGCGGCATGGAAGAACCTTGCTTCGGATTCCCTGAAACCTTCATTCAGCCGCTTCGGTTGACCTGCATTGGGGGCCACCCTCGCTGAGCCTCCTATGAGCCGCACCCAACTAACACATGTCTCCCGGATGTCCAATTAAATTGATACGAAATGGTAGGACCAACCTTTTTGTATAACCCTCAAGCCAACCAACCACTTGGACTGGTCGACTACCTACGCACTCCAGCAAGCGGATAGGGATATATGTAGGTTACATGCTTTCGGGCTCCGCTCCGTAATCAGCAGCTTGACCATTCTGCACGATAGTGGCCCCCCGCGAAAATCGCATCCACAGTGCATAAGTGATAGAGGAGTAGGGCTCTGATATGGTACGAGTTTCTTCGGAGCCTGGCGCTCGGCGCCTTGTCTCGCTAAGCCTTGAGAGGAGACAACTCCGGTTGTTTATGAGTACGTAGAACAAGACAGAGCGCAAGGCGCCACACTGTTTTAGATAGATAACTTGAGGTGAGATAATGTCAACGTGGTGGATGATAGCACATCTCGGATACATCGTCGCTTACACGTGGAGACGTTTGTTGGCGACGCTATATTGCACCGCAGGACACCGTCATATCTCTATTCATATTTCTAGGTCTTCCTATCCACTTAGGCGTAGACTATAGCGACCGTCCGCGCTCATGTGTTAATCATTACGATTTGATCTTGGTAAAAGTGTTGCGCGCACACGATCGTGCTACTTATCGGGACTACTAGTCGGGTGTTTCCAAGTCTTTACATCGGTTAATCTGACGAACTGGAAAAGGCTGTGTTGTGCTGCTAAGAACATCATTGCTTAACTACGAACTTTGACTTTGAAGAAAGTAGACGAGGCAACGGGAAAAACCTGAGGGATCCTTAGAATTAGAACCTGTAAACGCTAACTGTTAGTTGTCAGTTTTGGGCATGTAAGTATGGTTAGGTACCTAAGGATTTAATCTAAGGTCTTAAAACACCGAGCTGGAAGTAGAATGAAATTAAGTGTTCGTGAAGATTAGTATAGTACTAGGGTTACCCCACTAGAGATAGTACGATCCCCCGCATTCTCTCTCGAAATAGTGAACTGGTGACATCGGAGTGTCGTATAAATAAGCCCAAGAACAAAACGGCCACATCGATACAACATTAGCAATAACAAGCCGAGTAACGTAAATAAATATCTTTACTAGATAGAAGTCGGAAATCCGGAACTAACGTGGGCTTCCGGTATCTCACTGCTAAGACGTATCACGATGGAATTGCCGCTTACAATGAATGCTGTCGTGTTCGACGGCCCGTACAAGGTTTCGCTTCAGCAACGGCCGGTGCCCAAGATACAAGACGATGGAGACATTATAGTCAAAGTTGATGCGACGGCTCTTTGTGGATCGTGAGTATTATGCAGCATCTTGCTTCTGCCCCTGGCTAATTAACTAATTATTAAACCTCTTAGTGAGCTTCATACGTTCAGAGGCCACCAACCCTCGAACACAGGATTTATTATGGGCCACGAGTTCGCTGGCACGGTTGTGGCAGCGGGTAACGATGTTAAATCTGTCAAGATTGGGGATAAGGTGGTATCTCCTTTCACGGTGTCCTGGTAGGCTAGGCTGTGCTCTATATGCGATTTAAACAATCCATTAATATGCTCCGTAGCATGAACTGCTTTTACTGCAAAAATGGGTATTCGTCTCGGTGTGACCATAGCTTATTGTTTGGCTCGGAAAAGCTGGATGGCGCTCAAGCGGATTATGTGCGCGTACCCCTTGCAGACGGTACAGTCATGAAGGCGCCACCTGAGATCGACGACAATGCGTTGGTGCTCATGGCAGACATATTTCCGACAGGCTTCTTCGGCGCCAGGAATGCATTCAATGGCCTCGGTTCTCAAGATCCGTCCGAAGCCACAGTGGTGGTTATCGGTTGCGGACCGGTAGGACTGTGTGCCATAGTCTCAGCGTTAGAGTACAGGCCAAAACATCTCTTCGCCATCGATAGCATCGATAGCCGTCTTGAACTCGCAAAGGGCTTGGGTGCGGAGCCCCTTAACTTCGCGAAGGACAGGTCGGCTATGATTGCTCGAATCAAAGAAGTCACAGATGGCCGAGGAGCAGATGCAGTTATTGAAGTAGTTGGTTTAAGTCCCGCCCTGAAGACGGCGTTTGATATCCTGAGACCTTTCGGTTTCATAAGCAGTATAGGCGTCCACAATGCCGAGGTAATCTAGCCCCTAATGTGTGCCTGCTCACGTACTTCCAACTAACAATTCGCTCAGATCCCATTTAGTGGTACTGAAGGGTATAAGTACGCGGTGTCTTAGCCCACACTTGAGTTTTCTTATGACTGACGCTGGCGTAGCAAAAACGTGAGGTTACAAATGGGAAGATGTCCAGTCCGCTCGATATTTGCCGATGCACTCGGCGTCCTCGCAAGAAACCAACATAAGTTTGGGTAAGTTGGCTCTTCTTTATCACGAAGCCTTAGTCGACAAGCTATCGGCATTGGTTAATCCCTAGCAGGTTCATGTTCGAGAAAATTATGCCCCTTTCCATGGCCGTATCCGGATACGATCTGTTTGATAAGATGCAAGTGCAAAAGGTAATTTTCAAGCCGTGACTGAAGAACGGCTTGGAATCATTGCGCCCCCTTGAGCGGAACAGAACTGTTCCTCTCAAATTTAGTTCTGCCGAGGCTTGACAATACCATCATGCATAAAGTAGTAAACGACGGTAGAGTCATCATGTACCGTAGCGAGTAGTACTCTCTTGACACGATCCGGAGCAGCTGAGTTCTCTGGTGGCATGGAATCAAAAACGCTTGCGAATGCCTTAAGTGTCCATTTTTCGGCCAGGTGAACTGGTAGTACCCATTCGGCTACAGGTGTCTCCGGAATACGCCCTTCCGGGTTCGGGTGGGATTTGAGCATTTCAATCTGATCATCTGGATGTAAATAGAGCCGACGGGGAGGTAGTCCAGAGATTAGTGGTCGCGGTAGAGGTGAGTTATCCAAGGGGGAATGAGTCAATATTTGTAGCTCAGTCCAATCGTGTTGATACCGAAGATTATCAAGCACCGATACCGCAAGATTCTCGACGTAAGATTTCTCGGCCATGGCGAATATTTGTGTGTTAGAGTCTAAATTGTAGTTGCATAGCAATTCTCATACAAATCAAGGACCCTTTTGGCAAGCTACAAACTCCGACAGGAGCTTAGTGCATAAAGGCGGTGTAAAGCGGCACTTTGTATACCTACATGTATCTTAGGTAAGTATCTTAGGTAAGGTATCGGGCATCACAATACCTTAGGTAATATCCCTACCTCTGGCAAGGTACTTTGTCTATTTTAAAGTTTCGAGGTTCATCTAATAACATTGAATCTGGAGCTACATGTGCTCACCTACCATATTATTAGAACCACAAGTCAAGCATTCAAAATCTTGAAATGTTTCACTTCAACTTTTAGTTCGTGATGGTACACTGACGGCATTCCTCGACCCTAAATGGTACCCAAATTGACATCACATGGAACCATACTTAAGGAGTAAACTGAGACCGTACGCGTATTATATCGCTAATTATTGGTCTTGGACAGACTAGTCATAATGTGTGGCCGCGTCTCAACGAGGGTCATATCCGAAATTCGCTCTTGCGTACGTATTTAGAGTGGCAGTTCGAGAGGAGAGCCACGCAAATGGCTGTGCAACTTTCGAGGCGCAGATCTTGAAACCTTTTAGCTGGGTGGAGAGATCTAGACCTTTTCTACGGTATAGTTTGTGCAGATGTCATCGAAATGCGAAATCTCGTTCTAGGTACTTCGTACACACCTAATGACGAATAACTCTGTCTCGACTTGCGCATTTCTTTTTTAGGGTTTGTGACCGATATTCGATTGCGATGAAAAAAAAAATTTCTTGGTAGGATTAATTATATTATCTGGACGTAGAAATAATTGCAGAATCATTCATATTCATGTATTTTGCAGGATGAAATAGTATGAATTCTCCCATCTTTGATGACTGACTTGGCAGCTTGTGAGACCACCTGCAGTATCTAAAAGATACCTATACCCCTGTTCCACGACTAGCTAGATGCGAAGGAACAAGTTCCATTCGCAACAGCGACCAGTCATAATTAGGTATTTTAGGTAGATAGAGGGGACGAGGAGACCCCTTGCCCCATTCAGGTCCTACATTGTGTGCCAAGGAAAACGCTAAAGCCTAACTCACACTAGTATTGTACTAAATTATTCGTATATCGTTCGTACATCGTACCTCTCCTTATAGTGTACACCAAATCCTGTTGTATGTTACTTTTGACGTCTTTGTACTCGCCTTCAGCACTTTAGCATACCTATTCACCATTTCACTTCCCTTAACACATGTTATTATAATCGTTAGTTTACCTTTCTACCCTTGTTATTAATAAGGTAATCACGTTGAGCTCCGATACTACAAACCGAATCAATTAGACCGTCTTATCACTCCTCGGCTCTTCATTTCGGCTCTCTTTGCGCAGCTATACCTACGCTTCAAAAAAAGGCCGATTAATACCTACCACGTCTCACTCTTAATCAGATCGCAACACCGCCCTACATCGTCTCGCGCTCGAAAACGAAAATCGTGTAGCTTATCGGCTTCCGGAAGGAGCAAAGGCATCTCCTGAAGATGCCACTAGATTCGCCCAGAATATCTAAAGAAGGACAAGAGGATACCGTTGATCGGGCCACGACAATATCGACAGCGACGGACCAAAATGACTCTCTAAGCCAACGCGCGCCAATCATGTCGACTCAGGCACAGGAAGGAGTAGGCAGCGCGCTCGCATCGAATGTCGCCGCTGTAGACGTCCAGATGCGAGAGTATGTGAATGGATACCACTTCCCACCGAAATATCCCATAAAGGAGCAAATACGAATGGGTCTAGTTTCATTCTGGGAATTCTACAATACTGGATTCGGCTTCTTCCTCACTATCTACTCCCTCAACGTCGTGGCTTGGGGTGGCATGCTCTTCCTTCTTCTATGCAATGCTGCGCCAGAGATGTGCTGGGTGGATGGCAAATTTGACTGCAATGATATTGATTCGCCGCGCAGAATATGGATCGAGACAGATTCACAAATACTAAACGGGCTGTTCTGCGTAACTGGTTTTGGCTTAGCGCCGTGGCGCTTTCGCGATCTGTACTTCTTGTTGCGGTATCGTATTCAGGGTGATCACAAGGCTCTACGAAGCTTAGCAGGCGTTCATCGCGGTTGGTTCCGTCTTCCCGGTTCCGAACAACTTCCTACGTCTCTTGGGCCGAAGAATATCGAGGAGATGATCGGAAACTACAACGTTGACAGCGTTCCGTATCCCCTAGAGACTATATCAGATGCTCCGCCAACGAGCATCCGGGCACCTCCGACTAAGATGTGGAAACTGGATTTTATTATCTACTTCAATGTTGCCAACACGTTTCTGCAATGCGTTCTATCAGGTTTCATGTGGGCCTTGAATCGGTACGATCGACCTAGTTGGTCGACTGGTCTATTCGTTTGTCTTGCGTGTATCGCCTCCGCTATCGCGGGTATCATGATGGGCGTTGAAGGGAAACACGTTAAGGCTATCGAAGGGGTCCCTCTAACAAAGACGGATATTGAGCGTCTAGCGCGTGATAAGGAACTAGGCATTCCTCATTATAACAACCTTGGCGACAAGAACCCCGAGGAAGAGAAAGAGAAGAAGAGGATGAAGAAGCAAAAGCGACAGTTTGGGAAGGCCGAGCAATCTAGCCTCGCGACTGATAATGAAAGACAAGCATTCTGCGTTTAAATGGGGTGTTTTGGCAGGTTTTTATAGACGGCGGACTTGGTGTTTACTAGCATATATTTTGTTTGAATAATATACCATCTGGCGTTGCAAAACGGAAGTAAATACCTATATTTGCAAGTAATTTACTGTTTACAGACTACAATCAGGCATACAATATGAGCATTAAAGTATCCGTCTTTCTACTATGAGAATGTGCATAAGTGTTGAAATACGTAAGAAGTCGTTAAGCAAAGGAGTAGAATTAAAATAAGAAATATATATGAGTACAGCAAATGAGGCTTACAGTTCAAAACTTAGTGGATGGTAGCAAAGATACATAGCAAAGTGTTCACGAGATCGATTTGTTGAGCACCTGCCGGCTCCAAGATGGGAAGTTCCGCAGTTTAGATCTGGGGTTTATAGCTAAGCCAATTAGAGCTGAAGTTGATATCATAAGGCTAATCAGCTGACCAATGCGGGGGCAGCTTCTGGTCCCACTGTCCCAGCTCTTGCATTATGTAGGGTACCTATTGTACGTACAGCATTGCCAGCAAGGTACACGCGCCTTCGCATTCGGCGGCCTAGCCAATGTACCTAAATTACCTAATACGGGTGCAATCCAACGTTATCAGTCGGCCACGCGGTGGTCCCTATCTTCTAACACAACCTTGGAACCTTCACACGCTGTTCCTTGCCGCCATCCCCGAGGAGCTTCGCATATCTGCCGTAGCTCATCAAAGCTGCCGCGAATCACATCTATCATATCTCATTCTTTTTCTTATAGTTCTAGTTACATCACCCACGCTTGCTCAATTGTAACCATCCCCTATCTCTTGCTGGCACAAGACCACTCCTTTGCGAAACCCGCCGTGAATCGCTAGTCATCATGGCGCCAAAGGCCCTCATCCCTTTCCTGGTGGGCATGATGCTGCTCACTGGTGTCTGCAATACGGTCTTCACCAAGTACCAAGTAAGTTCGACCTAATCTCGCCTCTCCGCAGCTGGACCCTACAGCTTGCTAACCGCGACTGGGCAGGACAATCAATGCGTCCGGAACTGCGACGACCCCGATCCCAAGAAGCGGCAGCCGTTTGAGCAGCCCGTGCTTCAGACGGCACAGATGTTCATAGGAGAAGTCGGATGTTGGATTGTTGTCGGGCTAAGGCTCGCGTACCAACGCTACGCGAACAGGAAGACTCCGGCTGCCAACGGATACCAGGCAATCCCCAGGGGGGACGCGGAAGTCGATGATAACGATGATGCCGCCAGCGTCAATTCGGAACAGGCGCTTATCCTTCCCAATCCTCCGGTTAAGAACAATGTTGGTGTAGTCGATGGGCCCCTGAGGGGTTTCGGTATCACACTCCTTGCGCTACCGGCTATATGCGATATCCTCGGCACGACGCTTGTGAACGCAGGTCTGTTCATGGTAGCTGCCTCGATCTACCAGATGACTCGTGGTGCCTTGGTGTTATTTGTCGGCCTGTTCAGCGTTATTTTCCTGCACCGCAAGCTGCACTTATTCCAATGGGTTTCCCTTGTTGGTGTCATGATCGGTATTGCGCTGGTTGGACTTGCGGGTATTATCTGGCCTGATGCCAAATCAGAGGCCACCAACGCCTTGTTCCAGGCTGCAGAAGATGTTGCTACAGATGAGGGCCTTCGTGCTGCGTTGGGTGTCATTCTTATTGCCTTCGCGCAGATTTTTACCGCCACACAATTCGTCCTCGAGGAGTGGTTGCTAGAGCGTTCCAAAATCGACCCCATTGAGGTTGTTGGCTGGGAAGGTCTCTTTGGTCTTGCTGTTACCCTGATCTGTATGCTGGTACTACACCTCTCCATCGGGAGATCCGATGCTGGCCGCTACGGAATGTTCGATATGGTTGAGGGTTTCCGACAGATGACGGAGTACAGAGCCGTGTGGGTGTCTAGTGTACTAACTATGATCTCTATTGGGTAAGTTGAGCTTTGCACCATCATGCCTTGATAATAGGGATGCTAACTTTGTTACCAGTGGGTATAATTTCTTCGGCCTCTCAGTCACACGCAACGTCAGTGCAACAGCGCGGTCGACTATTGATAGCTGCCGAACCCTATTCATTTGGATGGTTTCCCTCAGTCTCGGGTGGGAAGCATTCAAGTGGTTGCAAGTTGCAGGATTCGTCTTGCTAGTGTACTTCACTTTCTTGTTTAACGGCGTCGTACGCCCGCCGTTCAAATTCCTCGAGCCAAATGAGGAAGTAGAGGAGTTGCTCCCCGAAGAGCCTATCGAGCATAACTAGATTGCCCGCAATGCAAATCGGATTACTTGATGCTGCCTAGGAGCACGGTGGCCTAGACCTGATTACTCTAGATGATTAAGCAGTAGCTAGGGCTTGCGAAGATGCATGTTTCTGCATTGGGATGGCGTTGGTTGGTATCGGCATGTTAGTGGGTTAATTGTGCTTGTAATATGTGCTTCGGTTGGAGTACTTCGGTTTCGATCAGCGCATCAGTTTGTTTGATATAGTCTTCTAAATTAGATGGCGGCGTAACCATCAGGGTCGGATTTATACATTCTATTATTTGATGATTTACTCCCGCTCGATGTCACTTGCCGAGAAAGTGAGGTCATTCGTTCTGCTAATAGACTTGAGAGAAGGAGACGACTATAAAGTATTAAGATACTCATCTATCCTACATGCTTCGTAGATGCCCCTTAGAGAGTTCTTATTGGTTATAATTGCAGATGGTTATACATACAAAACACTATTCTTCTGAGTATCAGGGCCCTGGCCTGCAATGTAGATATGTCAGTGGATATGCAATGTCTATAGCATCGGGCTATTCTTAACTCTTCATACCAAAACATAGTATTCAACAAGGTTTAACTTTAGAATAGTATCGTCAAGATATAAGCAATTATACTAGTAGCTAATAGTAAACGGGGCCCAAGCATTCTAAAGCAAGTAACAATTTATAATGCCAAACTATCTATCAACCTGTATAACACCTCATTAAGGAGACTTCATAACGCCAGGGAGGAACTCTGTCCGACCCTCGAAGACCTTTACGGCGTTGTACATACGTTCGCGAGAGGCGCGACCCTTGCCTTGCCTTGCCCGTCTAAAACTCACCAAGCAGACCAGACCAGACCTTCCTGCGATAACCAAGAAAACGCCCAAGCAATGCATACCCATGCTAAAAAAAAACAGACTAGACCGTCCCCTCTCTATTCCACCCGTCCTCGCTCATCATATCGCTGTATCCGACCAAGTCGATCGAGGGAAGGCGGCCATCTAGCTGACATTACACAGCAGCTCGGCCTCGAGGATGAACTTGCCCTCCTTGTACTTCTCGCTCGACTCGTAGGCGCGGTCGTACTTCCAGCCCACCGTCTCCTTGCACTGCTTGCACGTGATGTCCCGCACGATATGCCGGCCAGTCGTCATGCTGCGCTCCGACGGCTCGCCCGCGTCCACGTTGACGACCGTGTTGAAGAGGTAGGCCTTGCCGTGCTGGCCGCGGAAGTTCTGGCGGTTGGGAGGATGGGGTTAGTTGATGGGCCTCGATATATATATATATAGTGAGGGTGGGATGGGATGGGATGGGATGCTAGATAGATAGAAAGGTCTGATATATTGGAGGTAGAAGGCTACCTAGGATAGATGGGATATGGTATGGCATGGCATGAATATGATAAAACATTACAAAGCGAGGGACTTAGAAGATCAAGACGGCGGAAGAAAGACGAGAGAGATAGATGCCATACCCGACTTATGATCTCTTCGTGATTAGCGAGGTGGGCTTTGCAGTTCTTGCACCCGTATATTTTGTTACTATCAAGATACGTGTTGTACGCAAGACCCATTGCGGCCGATCTATCCACGCCGACCGCGTGCGTTCCGTTTCGTTTCGTTAGGAGGTACCTAGTAGTTTTATTGGTATATATCCGATCCGACAAAGGATTCCGGAAAGGGTTCTCGATTTCGATCGATGCCGTAGCTAGACGAGCTGATCGAGTAGGTAGGTTTCTAGGTAGGTATCGCGAGTTCCGAGGTTGACGATAGCACGGGGCGAAGATACAACGATAAGTTGTACGAAGGGCCGACGTCTGTGTCCGAGAGGAGCGATAACGTAATACCTACCTAACGGGACCGAATCCGAAGGCCAGATCGATCGATCTTATTGGGTTGTTTCTTCGTTTGTTTGTTTACTCCAGTTGGTTACAAATGATGTAGGTGGCCGAAATGCATAGCAACTTGTATGTACAGTGGAAGAATTGCGATTTAGAAGACCAAAGCGTTTATGTAGGTAGGTAGGTAGGTAGGTACCTAGGAAACAAACCAGCCTCACGCGATGCAGGCGTGATGTGTTGATGTGGATGTAGGTCGCTAACAGCTGGAGTTGCTTATCTTAGTAGGTACCTATGTATGTAGGTCTTTACCCCGCTGACGTGGTACAGTGGTATATCTGACAGACGGGTGCTACCCCTGCAACTTTCGTATGGGGTAATTTATCTTACTGCGTTGTTCTTCGAAAAAGAAATGCTGAACGATATTAAAGATATCGTGCACTATGATTCGTCCTCTCGCCAAGACTCAGCCTCTTTCACACCTACCCATACCTGAGTTGTCTCTTCTTCGTATCAAGCATTTGTGATACTCCAGCTCCCATTTTGTTTCATAGCAGTAGACCGATGTTTCTTGAGTAGACATGAGTATCTTAAAAGAGATACCTATCTAAGTCGTAGTTGACTCCATGTTTCTCTCTTGAATCTTGGCCGAACCTAATAGTCGTATCTAGTTATAGTTACCAACTCTATCCATCTCTTAAATCATGTCTTACCAAACTTAAAGAAACCCCAGACTTATTTGTTAGTCTTACATGGTTCTTCAAGAAGTTTCATTGTTCACTAGGTAGATTGCAATATATCTCCCAACCAATATTTAACAAATCATATATTCTCGATCTCTCCGGCCATAGCCACCGGTTGGCGTCAGGCCGACATGTCTATCAACGAAAGAAGTATCTACAAGAAACTGCCAGGGCGGTCCTAAGAAAAATATCAAATATGCGCAACCGAACAGAGCAACCGTACAACTACAAGAATAAATCAGGACACCCTCCCCGCTCGGTCCACTTGATTTCCAAGCAACCCGAGCAATAGCGGTGACTTATTAGCTGTCTACCACGAGAAGGCCTCCTCGATAAAGTCGATCGACGAGTTGTACTGCTTGCGACGAATCGCTTGTCTGACCTCATCGCTGAGGGCACCAGGCCCGCAAACCGTCACACCCATTGTCCCAACTTGCTGCTCTGCCTCCATACCGATTAGAGTCTCGATGTTAGGCCTGCCAGGGAACATTTGGACTGTTGACGAAGGGCTATGTATTTCCTTCGTCGAGCGTGGCCTACTGACGAATAGCATAATCCGCAGCACCTCACGCCGTCTATCCATAGCTAGAATCTCTGTCATCCACGGTCGAATCCATTCGAGATGCTCAGGGCTCTGAATAATCCATACCAACACCACTTTTCGCGTAGCTACCGTGCCGTTTGCGAAACCCGTAACAAGGTCTCGGACGTGGGGGACTGCGTGAGTAATACCTACACCACCAGCAAAAAGCATCACAGTGCCGTAGGAGTGCATCATATGCTCGCCACCATACGGTCCTTCGACGAGACATGTTGTCATAAGCCTGCCATCGGGTTGCGCTGCAGCCCTTTGGTATAAATTGTGTGTCATTCCTGACCGTCCTCGAATGATGAAGGACATGCTGGTCTTGCGCATGGCGAGTACGTCTTGTCGGCTCATAGCTAACTTATCCGAGCTCAACTCTTCAGCCTCTTCGCTCCATGCCAAAGAGAATGGATGGGACTGCCAGAAACTGATGCTTGGCATGTATAGGTATGCATGCTGACCAGGCTTGAAAGTCCACGGTCGGGCCATTGTCACCGTCAGACGGACGGCATTGCCAGGAAGCGCCTCAACGAGCGTCTTGGTCCCTCCCCGACCAAAGTTGTGGTAAACAAGGCGCATAACACGGATCAGCCTGTCACCAGCCCACAAGGGAATAACCGGAATCAACCACTTGATCGCGGAGAGGTGCTTCAAGTCAAGGTGGTACCAAAGGCCCGCAACCGCAAGCGCAGCGAGACCGATATGCAGAAGCTTAAAGGATTCGTAGTACGCGTGTCTAGCAATGCTCGAAGCTTGAAATAATATCACCACAAAGGCGATGGTGGCCTAAGCAATGTTAGGTAAACGGATCACGTAGGACACGAGCAGATATAACTTACAAGGAAGCCGTACAGCAGGAATGGCACTGTAACGGTGGTATTCAGTACGCTTGACCATCCACCAGTTGCGGCTGACGCAGCCCAGAAAGCAAAGGTATGGCACACTGCTTCCAATGCTACGATCCGGCCAAACCAACGATGCATTAAGTTGAAAGTGTCAAATGACATGCCGAGTAGGGGGATGAGAGGGTTGTTCCTGCTAGCCATGAGAAACAAGGGAATCATGTTGGCTACTGCCAACGTTCCACTTCGGTTCCTCAACTGCTTGCACGCATCCGCAAAGCTATCGGCGAAGGGAATGTGGACGACACAAAAGGCAACGTTGGTTGCGAGGTATCCTACTAGAAAGAGGAATTGGAACCGAGTGGGTAGGGTACCAACATTGATGGCGCTGCTCAGCTGAAATTCTCGGTTATGTCGTTTCCTAAACATGGGGGCATATAAGAGATTCTTCTTGATCCAGGCGAATTTCGTAGACGGGCGTGCAAAGTATCGTTGTGTGTCGTTTGTTAAACTCGTAACGGTTCGGATATACTTTTGTAATGCTGTTGTAATGCGCCATATTATGAGACCCAAAGAGAGAGCGGCACAAACAATCAGTAGATAGTTAGATAAAGATTCGTTCTCCATCGCCGGCGTCCATCCCGCTGCCTGCCCCTCACCAGCTTCTGCCTTTCCTTCTCCTCCAGCCATGATGAAAACCGGATTGCTGTTGTTGTCGGAAGTATACCAGCTAAACTAATCAAAGTTTAGAATCGAATTGAAATGGGAATTTCAGTTCAGAAAATCGTCATGAGTAAAAGTAAGGAATGTTCAGTGTCTCAAGAGGTTGGTTATGAGACCTAGTTGGAGTATGTAATGGCCAAACAAGGTCAACTTGAATAGCCCGAAGAGGAATGAACGAAGGGCAATAACAGCCTGCTGTCAGGAATTTCTGTTGAAGGCGGCCTAAGTCGTCTCCAAAAGCTGTAGTCTAGGTGACTCAAGGTCAAGTTTTTATCACTTGCCAAGGTCGAGAGGGAAGACGAATACTTAAATGGGTGTGTCTTCGGGGTCTGGCCCAAGGCGGAAAAAAAGAGCCTCGAAGGATGCGACCTAGAAGAATGCCTGTAGAAGGCTTGCAAGGGCACAAGGTATTGTAAATGAACGAAGTAGGTCGACGTTACACCCGCCTAATTCTGGTTGAAGAACCAAAAGCTTGGGATGAAGTATGGGTCTGTGAAGAAAAGACCAGAAGGATTAAGGCGGCAGGGTAGGAATGACCTGGAGAGCAGTGCCCATTTGCATGAAATATATGAATGAGGAAGAATAAGGAGGTCAGTCTAATTGAAGGTAAGAATTACTCGTGCAGGGCCTATGTGAACCTAGAATTTTCAGGTACGTACCTACCTACGGAGTACCCGCCCGGGGCATTACTCGATTACGTCGACTAATGCCGCCAATCATTGCGTCAATCTATCCCCTGAAAATCAAGCCCTGGAGAGGAATGGAATAGGTACCAGTACGTATGTATGTACATAATAGGGCATATTGGAGGGGCTGGCTGGACTTTCCCCTCAATCACTGTAGGTACCTACCTAGGTACCTACCTACCTTCCTTGGCGAAGCAGAATTCCACTGAATTCTTTCACTGAGAACCAATTTATTCAGCTCATCGCGATTTACCACATTAGATAATCAATCAAGAGTCAAAATAACGTTTACCTTACTTTAAGCAATTGCTTGTTCGGACGTTATCTCTTCTATTTCCATTTAGTTCAAATGTAAGGTTCTTTTCACGAGACTTGGCATTTACTCATTTATCAATTTACCAGCACACTTAGTTGAAACGTTCAAAATTTTCTCTGCATACACGCGTCCGCATGATAGGTATCTCAAAGTATTCCGTACTCTTCTACTAAGCCTACATAGATTACGAGTAAGTCTTGCCTTGGTAGTGTGGGGATGGGCCGATAAAGTGCCACCAATGTAAGGTACACAGAAGAAAAACAGCAGGATTGGCCGAGGACCTGTGTCACATGACTAGGGTCCATAGGACCCACTACAAGTCCACATAAGTACCTAGATCTTACAGATATTAGAGAATCCCTCAGATACTTTACAATACAACAATTATTGATGTCAGACAGCGATCATACCACAACCTGAGTCGATCGAGCAGGGGTCACCAAGCCCCAGCGCGACGACATCCCTGATCTACTTCATCTGGAGATCCAACCGTTTGGCCCTCTATCTTATCTATCTATCTTTGTTATTTGTTGAAACTGCACATTACGCGTGCAATGTGTGGCTCTCGTTATTGCTTCAGTTTGAAGCACGAAAGCTTCTATCACTAAATTCGTGGCCTCATCATTCGTTATCCGATCTTAATTCTGCATCGCGGTGGGGAGCATCATGATCGACAGAGCAGTTTTGAAACGAGCGCACATTAGAAGACAGGGATCTGGCTGATCGTACCGCCAATGACGATTCATAGGCCGATAGGTAATGGCCTAGCACTAGCACTGGCCCTTGGATAGGACAGCAAGCGGCTACATACTGGTAGTGCATCCAAAAAGCATCCTAGATTTTCGACACCTTCTCGACTGGTATGCGAGTCAAACGACTGGCTGTGGCGCATATACTAGACTCATCTTAAAACTCTTCCTCCGAGGACGATTACCACGATTGAATTATTAACCCTTTTTGCAGAACATTACGACATTGTTACTATTTACTAAAGTCTAATTCGTTTAATTTACTATGGAATGCGATACCTTATTTTATTTTATCGAGGCATTACAAAACTCCATCGAAACCATATAAAACGATGGTATACAACATCACTTTCATCTGGTTTCTTTAGCCAGTGGGTGCTTGCGTCATTTGGGCTCAGTGAGAAATGTGATACGAAAATCTCGATCAAGAAACGTTCAATCAAGCCGCTTACAACCCAGTTCACATCAAAATGCTTAATTCTGACGATGATGATAGGGTCTCACTTGGAATAGGTAATACTTCCAAATCATATTCTTAGACCCACTGCAACATAAAAGCTCGACACATATTGAGCCTCAAAATGCTTATGCGATCATTATGTGAAATACATATTTCCCGATTAGCTCCACGTATCTAGTCCAAGAATACACGACTCTTTCAACTATCATGATACCCAGGATATATTCCACTGAAGGAACGTTTAGTCATTCATCCTATACTCCTCGGTATATACCAAATGCCAATTATAGGATCACAGCTACTAGGTACGTCGATTGCCATGATGATGAAGATCATGACTAGATATCGCAGGCCAAGCTTTGAATCTCTAGCTTATCGAAAATGGCGGCGTAGCCCACGCGAGTTCAACATATTTAGAAGATGTGATACATGGAAGTGGGATATTTTGCATAAACCTCGAGGGTCTCTGAAAATCGAATAATTCTAGATATGGCAGAGGCCGCGTTTGAGAGTAATCAAGTTGATACGAGTTGCCCAGTACAGCCGTTTCAAGTTTCAACGGGCCTCCACCACATGCTCCATATGCTGTAATTAGTCCCTCTCGTCGCCCAATCTCTAAGGATTAACACATGGGTTATTCCCAGTCGTGCATGGCGTCAATCACTTTTACACAACGTTACCGTTTGGGACCGGTACCTTTTGCCTATTGCAGCTTTAATCTCGAAAATGGGTATTTACAGTTATATATAGGTAATTATCGATATCATGATTTCTCTGCTCTCTAACCAAATGCCATCCAGCGGCGCAGCTCCCGTTGAAAATGCAAGATCCCACGCTCAACCGTATAATCCTCCGCATCCGCTGGACATAACGTTCATGTATATTATATTCCCGGGCCCGAAACTCAGTGTATCCAAAGATAGGTTTACAAAACCTACGAGTGGGCTCATACCAGACAAATGATGCTATCTCGGGGTTAATAAAATAGCGAATCTCACATGCAAAGCTCGTCATCGCTATAATCGTCCCCGGGAACACCGGAGCTCACTGAACTTGCGAGGATGGATCTGGATCGTAGCTTGGTACCAAGCAAGGTCTTTTTGTCAATGCTCCTCCTTGGTTTCTTGCGAACGACATGACCGCTGTTTTCCTTATCGGAGCCGAGCTCGTCGTCTAGTGATGAGTAGGCGGGTTTTGCGGACTGCAGAGCGATGACGCTTTTGCTCCGGCGGGGTCCCGTAGCCGCTTGTGGCTTGTCGCCCTGGGAACAAGAGTGCGCACGTTTTTTGGTGTTGACGCGTTCGGGACCGGGGGGCTTGGGGCCCTGTACCTTATTATTGCTCTCCACCCTGGCTATTTCCGGGCCTGGAACACTATCTGCTTCACCATAGATGACCACCCCCGACTGAGTGGCTCTCTGCTCGGCACCGTCTGCTACATGATCTCCATCTAACCTTGACGTCGATCGAAGCTGTCTTGTTCTCGCCTGGGGCAGACGTCTAGGGCTGACTGTAACCCACTCGCCTATAGTTTCCTCCCACCGGTAGCCCGTGAAGAGAGGTCGGACACGAGCGTTGTCCCCTGCGGCCGAGTGTTGGTTGCAGGCCAGCTTCTCCGCGTAGATAAAGTCTTTGACGTTATTGGTCTGTTGCGCAAGAGAAAAAGCCGCTATCGTCTTCATGCTATCCAGGATTTCTTGATCGAGTTCGAGGCCTGCGAGTTGTCTGAATAGCATGTCTAAACAGTTGTGAGACGCCAGATTCATTCCTCGACCGCAACTGCGAGCTACTGATGACACAAATGAGGCTATATCGGTAAGACGGTGTCTCGTGCGGTTGCTTCTCGCTGAATTATGGTCCGTGTGCTGTCGCCATGCTTGTCCGATACTGTACTTGAGATGAGAACTGATATTATTATCGACTCGAGCATCGCTCGATGAGATGTAGTATGCCAAATGCAACAGGTCATTTCCTAAGCGACACTGCGTAGCCTTTGACGATTCTAGACCAGCCATACACGACCTAAGGATATATCTAAGCCTATTGCCGATGAAGCTTATCTTCGCGATCTCAACTTCTGAAACGCTTGCTGTATGGAGTTCTATTTCGCCTAACGAACTCATCGCAGCTAGCATTGTTAAAGCACTAATTAGTGTCTGCTTATTGGCCATGGCAATATCTTTTTCTACGCGAGTCGTGTCATTTCCGTTTGCAAGGATTCGCCTCCGGCGACATAACAGCGAAACGGAATAGTTCATGAAAGCCACGGCGTCGTCAGCTGCCTCTACAACGGACAAGTGCCGAGCAGCTAACGCCCATACGCGTTCGAACTCTTGCGTCGCAAGCCAGTCTTGAGGGAGGCTGCCATTAGATAATAACAGCAAATACTGTCGAAGTAGAAATGAAGTACGGCCATGCTTATTAGCAAAAGTCCATAGTATCGAAAGAGGTCGAAAGCATCCCAGCTCGGCAAAGGAGCTGTCTGCCATAGTTGGCTGAGAGTATTGACGATAAATCAGCGCTGCGATGAGCTCCTCGGCCTCAGATAATGCACCGGATCGGATGCATAGATCAATAAGTAATTCTGAGAAGTTGTCATTGAATAGTCCCTCTGAAACTCCTTGCTTCACCGCATTAAGACCGTCTGCTCGAACTACTATCCGGAGATGTTTCCATCCAAGGGCCTGATTTGATCCAATTGACTCTAGGTAGTTGTATATCTCTGTTGAAGTGTTGACACCGTCAAGCGTGGAGATATTCCCGCTCTGCTCGGCTTCCATCCTCTCCCAGGCCTCGAGTTCCTCAATATACGAGGGTACTTTTCTAAGACACATATCGAGGAATGAACGTGGCCCTCGTCCTCGACTAGTGACATGCCGCGTTGCTTTTAGGAGCGCTTCTAGGCTCTTATAAATTGCCTCCAGGTCATTGTGCCTGTTCGAAGTTGACTGAGCCCGTAGGCCTGCGAGACGTTTCTCGAGGTCCTTATACTGATCTCGTCTGCATCCGACTATGGGTTGTTCAGGTTGCTCCTTAGGGTGACTGGGAATTGTGGGTGATGGGACAACATGGCCTCGTGCACGTCGTAGTAACGGTGTAGCCGGTACTATCTCGCCAGGAACTACAGTTCTTCCCTCGCCGCTCTGGAGACATTTTGTCGTACTCGTTCCCTTTGAATCCTTGCCAAGCGAAGATTGTCCATCTTGATTGGGAGATCGCCTCTGAGAATAGGTAAGGCGGACTCTCTTACGCGGTCTTAACCATTCGCAATTAGCATTTGGCTGCTCAGTAGCAATCCTCCTTTCCTGCTCGAGCTCATCATCTCTGGTGTTTAGTAATGATGCCGCAGCGTCCTTTCTTAGAGAAGCAATTCGCGAAAGCAACGGCCGAAGTAAGCGTTGACAGCGCGCCGCGGTCCAAGCCTGTGATGTCCCTCCCGGTTTTTCTGGCTTAGGCCTTGGCTTATACGGGATCGTGAATTCGTTAAATGACATAGAGAAGCTCTAGCAATGTTACTAAGCAGATATGTATGCTGGGTTATGAATGTTTGTTTGAGAGCTCGGGTTTATTAATGGCGATACGAAGCTAGCAGCTTCATGCTCCATGGACGTCGTCCCCAAAACAAAAGCAGTAGGCAAAGCAAAATGATATTATCGTGATACTTGGTTCATAAAGATGCGATCCAAAAGTGCAGCCTTGAAGATAGGACTGTTTTATATGACCAAACGACAAGAATACCAATGTTTTGTCCGATAAGGATGGAAGAGACGTATAACGGTTTAACGGTTCTTCTAACCAAACATTTGATTTGTTTACTTGATTTCCTAATCAGGAGATACCCACTTTAACTTTCACACAACATTTTGGTGTATTTCTAGAAATAGAATTAAAACTCATAACTCTCATATATGCGGTTCTGAGATGACTAGACATTCTCTACAGTATTTAGTAGCTCGGGCCATAGAAAATTATTAAAATTTTATGGGAAAAGATGATGAGATGTTTGCTGTAAATAAAATCCGAGTAGGTAGTAAAAGTACAGAGGTACTTACTTCCAACGTGCGGGCTTTTTAGTCCCCTAAGACTCAAATTTTAAGCCAATCAAAATGGAGGTGGTTACCGTAACACGTCTTTTATGCAGTGTTACGTGCTAAGAGCATCATCATTAGGGCGGACGGGAAAGCCCCAAATGACCTAACTACCTTCGCCGCAGCTCCGACTTGCCGGGAACAGCCGGGGTTTTTCGAGCCGTCGAAGAAAAAAAAAATTGAAATCTAAATGTTGCTTGCTTAGCTGCAATAATGCTTCGGCGATTCTTCCTACCTTCTTCAACATAATTCCATTTACGGCCTTTGCAAGTTCAATTGATTTGCGGTTCTTTTATTAGATCTGTATAATATTTCTCGGACCTTGTTCATTAATACTTTTACAGTTTCCACGCCGGATTTTCCAAGCTGTGCGTGGGATCTCGTTTGCTATTCTTGTACAAGTAAGAGGATATCATAGATTTGCACCACAAAACTTCGACGACCCCTCCAACCCCTCTTAATCCTGTTCCAGTTGGCCCACAATGTCTGAGAAGCCAGAGGTTGCCGGTAAGTAAAGCTTTTATATATACATGTGTCTGACTCTGTGCGAATATAAGTTAACCATGGTCTCGTGTAGCTCAACCTTCCGACCAGGAAGCCGAAACCCTAAATGGCCAAACTGAAAATGCTAAAGTTGACTCCAACGACCAGACAGCTGAAGAGGATGAAGAAGAAGTTGCAGACGGTATGACTAGAAACTTACCTCTCAGGTAGATGTTGCCATGCCAATGCTAATACACGGTTTATAGCATTGTATCCTCTCACTATCCATCTGCCCCGCGAGCCGAACAAGATCCATGTGATGGTTAGTAGATACCCCCTGTCTACTATGTATGGATTCTATTCTATGGCCGGTAATGGCTAATCTTGGTACAGGTCTCGCCTCAAGAGCAAATCCACGAGCTACGACAGTCTATTATCGAGCTGCCATCTGCTTTCCAATACTCGTGTTTCCACCTCGAGCATGCCGGCGAGCGCATAAATGACTTTGTGCAAATCTCTGACGTGAAGGGACTCGGTCCGGAAGCCGAGATCCGCTTGGTAGAGGACCCCTATACCGAAAAGGAGGCTAGAATACATGTCATCCGAATTCGTGATCTAGTTGGTGCTGCTGGAGATCGGACTGACACCCTGCAAGGGGTTCTACCCGGCATCTCCCTCTTCGATTCCATTACTACAGGTGCCCAGGATACCGACAATGTCCAAGCTAGTGCCTACGACTTCGAAGCTCCCGCGAAGCCTTCAACTCTAATACCAAAAGAGGAAGAGCCCGCCCCTAAGACGGTGAAGTCGATTGCCCTGTCGCCATGGAACCCTCCACCCTACCATCTTAGACAGAAGGGCCATTTGCTGTACCTACTCGTCACCACGAACGAAGGAGAGCAATACCAGATCACTTCGCATGTTGGCGGGTTCTACGTGAACAAGTCATCGAATAGCAAATTCGACCCCTTGCCCCGCGCTGCTCCTAAGGGTCATTCTGCGCACTCACTATTAACGCTTCTAACTCAAATCTCTCCCTCATTCTCAGAGTCCTTCGAGCAACTACTGCAGTACAACAACCGTAAGGACCCCCTCGCCACATTCCAGATGACGAATGCTATCCCTGCGGCACCATGGCTAGTTCCTTCGCCATCCTCGCCTTTATGTGCTCACAGTCCGGATATCACAAGAACTCAGGAGGGCTATCTTATCTCTGGTGTTGATAACACTGATACGCTGAGAGATTGGAACGAAGAGTTCCAGTCGGCTCGCGAATTGCCAAAAGAGACGGTTCAAGACCGTGTCTTCCGAGAGCGATTTATTTCCAAGCTGTTTGCTGACTATTCTGATGCTGCTGCCCGAGGTGCTATTCTGGTCGCCCGTGGTGAGGTCACTCCTCTCAACCCGACGGAAGGCCGCGACGCCCAGATCTTTGTCTACAACAACGTGTTCTTCTCTTTTGGAGCTGATGGCGTGGGAACCTTTACTTCTGAGGGCGGCGATGATGCTGCCAGGGTTGCCACAGGAAAGGATGTCAACGGCGTGCGTCTAGTCAACCAGCTCGACATCGATGGGCTGTACAGCCCGGCGACTGTAGTGGTCGACTACCTCGGAAAGAGAATCGTTGGCCAGACTGTTGTTCCAGGCATTTTCAAGCAAAGAGAACCTGGCGAGAACTCCATCGAGTATGGAGCAGTAGAAGGAAAGGAGATCGTTGCAGCCGATGAACGGTTTGCGCCAACTTTTGAAAAGCTCTCCAAGGCCCTAAAAGTGAAGAAGCATCCTGTCTGGGACAAGGATGGCAAGCGATTCGATCTGGAGGCTAGTGTCGAAACTAAGGGACTGATGGGAACAGACGGTCGGAAATACGTCCTTGACCTATACCGCATTACGCCCCTTGATGTGTTATGGCTCGAAGAAAATAGCAGCAGCACTGAGGGAGAGAAGAATGAGCTCGAGTATCCCCATCGTATGACGGTCTTGCGACCAGAACTCGTGGAACTGATCCGGAATCAAAAATGGACCGAGTGGGTCAACAAGGAGCTCGCGCGTTTAAAGCAACAGTCCCAGTCCAAGTCTCAAAATGAGAAATCCAACAAGGAAGAAAACTCGTCCGCAGAAGAGAAGGCCGAGGAGAAGGCTGAAGAGAAGATTGAGGAGAAGACTGAGGAGAAGGCTGAGGAGAAGGCTGAGGAGAAGACTGAAGAGAAGACCGAAGAGAAGTCCGAGGAGACTGAGAAGAAGAGCACAGACGAAGACAAGCCTAATGAGTCTAGCGATAGCGCCGCAACGGAGCCCGAAGACCGCATTGACGCTTCTGAATTCTACTTCGCACTTAACCCAGATGTCTGCAGCGGACAAGTTCCGCAGACCGAAGCTGAGAAGGAGGAAATGGCTGCCGACGAAGAGGATGTTCGAAACGCCTGTAAATATCTACGCGAGTCGGCAATTCCTGACTTCGTCAACGATATCAAGGCTGCAGATCTGCCTTTCCCCATGGATGGTTTGTCGTTGACCAAGATGATGCATAAGCGCGGAATCAACATGCGATACCTTGGCCAGATTGTGTCTCTCTGTGAAGGACCGAGGCTTTCGCGCCTTCGGGACTTGGCCTTACAGGAGATAATATCGAGAGCATTCAAGCACGTTGCGAGCAAGTACCTGCGGTATTTGCCAATTCCTCTTACTTCGGCTGGCATTGCTCATCTTCTCAACTGCCTTCTCGGATTTGGCTTCAACAGCAAGCCTACTGCTGAGATAGATGAGTCTCTAAAGGCACTTTACCCTGAAGCTGACCTTGCATTCGCGGATCTTACTCCGGAGAGTCTCCGACAGGAAATTGAAGCGCAGGCCATCCGTCGATTCAAGTTCACTTTGGATTCAGACTGGCATAACCAAATTAAGCACCTGCAGCTCCTCCGCGACGTATCCTTGAAGCTTGGTCTTCAACTCCAGGTGAAGGACTTCAAATTCACCAATGACCCTAGCGCTGCGCCCACTACAAATGGCGTCAACGGTCACGCAAACAGCGATACCAAGAATGACAGCAAGAAGAAAAAGAAGAAGACGAGGGATGGATCCCCAGCTTCCGTTGCTTCCTCTACCAGCACCCCGACCACCTTTACTCCGGATGATATTGTCAATGTCGTCCCGATTATTAAGGACTCCGCACCGAAGAGTGCCATTTCTGAGGAGGCCTTGGAAGGTGGTCGCCATTCCATCATGCAAAACAACAGGAAGATTGGTCAGGAGTTGTTATTGGAGAGTCTGACACTTCACGAACAAATCTACGGAATCCTCCACCCCGAAGTTGCGCGAGCATACTCCAGTCTTGCGCAGATCTATTATCAGCTCGAGGAGAAGGAGGCTGCTGTCGATTTAGCGAGGAAAGCTGTTGTTGTATCAGAGCGCACTATCGGTGTCGACTCTGCGGAGACGTTGCTCTACTACCTAAACCTTGGGCTCTATGTACATGGATCCGGCGACAGCAAGACAGCTCTTGCATATGTTAAGCATGCGCTTGACTTGTGGAAGATCATCTACGGGCCCGACCACCCGGATTCGATCACGACCCTGAACAATGCAGCAGTCATGCTTCAGCATATGCAAGCATACCACGAATCTCGCATCTGGTTCGAGCAAGCCCTTGCTGTCTGCGAGCGTGTGATGGGCAAGCAGTCCCTCCCAGCTGCCAGTCTCCTGTTCCAGCTCGCACAGGCGCTCGCTTTGGATAACGAATCCAAGGCTGCCCTCGTCAAGATGCGTGATTGTTACAATATCTTCTTGCAGCAGCTCGGGCCAGAGAATAATAATACCAAGGAGGCTGAGACTTGGTTGGAGCAGCTAACACAGAACGCTGTCGCAATCGCGAAGAGGGACAAGGACGCTCAGTCAAGGCGTCTACGGGCTGGAATCCGCTTCCCGGCTCGCAACGTCGCGTTAGGAGGTGGCGCCGGCGCTACGGCACAACCCACAGCACTAAACCAGCCTACATCGGATAAGCCAGATGCTCGAAGCATCGACGATCTCATCAAGTTTATTGAGGGTAACACGGCTCAAAAGAAGAGCACCAAGAAACGCGCAGGTCGCAGCGGGCCTAAAACTCGAGTAGGCGCGGCCGCTGCCTCATAAAGCGTTAAGGACAATAGGACACAGGGACAGGATGCGGATCATGGGGAACGAAGCTTGACATGAACGGGTATGAGAGGGGCTCTAAAACACGGACCGGGAGGGGCATGAAAAGGAAAGAATGAAGAGTTACGTCTACCTGGCATGAATGATATTTTTCCTCGGTTGAGGCGTCTCTGGAACGGGGTCAAAAATCTGTCTGTTTTTTTATATCTTTTTTCTGTTTATCCTCCCCCAGGGACTGGTTGCATAGATCTAAGAAAGGGGTGTTGCATCGCGTTGTTTTTCCCCCCCATCTTCATCATGTCACCTTTACCGCCGTATAGGCGGTAAACTCCTTACTCTCTACCTACTGCCGTATGTCGGAACTCAACAACATATATGGTATGATGGTGTTTGAGCTGTATATATTAGGTGGACGACGAGGGGAAGGGGGCAAGTCAGTCGGACTAGGTCTAAGGTACAAACAGCAAGCAGTATAGCATCTCGAGGGGATCTATTCCCGCTCTCGGACATACATAGTATGCGGGACACGGCGCGCGCAATTCCTTTATAGGTATTTGCTTGCCTCGCGTGTGTTAATAGACATCATCTTCACTCTTGCCTGCGAGGTTGCTTGACTTGGTTACATAGGCGCCTATCTAAACGTGCAGTATGCTAGGTATAACCATAGTTAACTTGACATACTGTACCTAGCCCAAGTACATACACACATACGCAACTAACTGTTGGAACCGTATCCTAAAAACCAAGTGCACGCATCACATAGGTCTTTGCGAGGAACTATGACCGATTGACTGAAAACTCTGTATGCATGATGACTGTCGCTATAGTTGTAGTTGCCGAAGTTCATATAGATTCATTTGAAAATCACCTAACCTACAAGCTAGGCTAGATACCCAGGCCTTGAACAACATATTGTCCGTTGGAGGGTGCATATGTGGATGTTCGGAGCGGAAACGAAAATGCGAGAAAAAAAAAAAAACCATCGCCTAGTAAAAGACATACGCGAAAAGAAAGAAAAACAAAAAAGGGCTAAAAAACAACAACACCACAAAAGCAAGGACTCCCCTACTCCTCTTCTCGACTAGCCGACGCTCCCGATGCGTGGATTTGTGTAGACCTCCAGCGATAATGCGTAGCTCACACCCACCCCCATTCAGTCCTTTTTGTCCAGCCCAGCCTAGCCCCTGAAACGCCGATTTTTGTGTCGTGGGTGCCGTATGCGTTAATAGTACATGGTGTATCCCTACCTAGGTATCTTCCCATCCAGTCCAACCCGGTCCGCCCGCCTGACCGGGCCACTCGAATCGCTTGCCCCATGTCGCCTTCCAGAAGTCAATGATGAACAATGGTACCGCCAACTCCGATTGATGTAAAAAGAGAAACCCACTGAAGCCGCTAGAATCCGGGATCCAGTTACCCGTACAAAGCCATATAGTATAGCATCGTCCAGGACAAGAAGACGTATTCTCTTCTCAGATCGACTTGATCGAAGGCACATGTTGACCGCCCCAGTCCAAAGGAATGCAAGGTTCATAGAATAATAGTACAAAGTGGGGAAGAAAAGCCATAAAACCGTTTCACAGCTATTTCCACTTAATGGAACAATCAAAAGGCCGACTGGCCGTAGCCGAAATGCCTCTTATGAGGTTAGTATATGACACTTGCTTAGGTACGTCTGCCGTTTGCACGGGGTCCGAGACCACCGCCGAAGTGAAGATTGGCGTGATAAGAGCCGATGCTCTGGAAGCCTCTATAAAAGCTATTAGAAAATGTCTTAAATAGTAGTCTGTGGAAAGTGGTAGCGTACTTAGTAAGGTCGAAACCGCCTTCTCCTTCGCCTTCGCCTTCTTCTTCACCTTCACCTCCTTCTCCTTCTTCTTCGTCTTCCGGTGCGGCTGTTTTCTCTCTGTCTTGGGTCTCCGTGCGGGCTGATCGGGTCGATCTGCTAGGACTGGCAACAGGTGACCCATCACCTGCGGCGGGAGGGGGGCTGCTGCTGTTTGTCAAGCGGCGCATAGGCTTCGAAGGACTGACGTCAAACTGCGGCGGCTTCAGGGGCGTGCTGCCGATATCGGCATACTTCCAGAAAGGGGCCGGTGAACTGGTCGGCATGTGCTGGCTGGGCCGTTGGGCGGTACTGGGAGGCGCAAGCCTAGGGTGGACGCGGTGAGGCGCTGGGGTGACGAAGGAGGCACTCTCATCCTGAAGAAAAGAAGAAGAGAGAGTCGGAGGCGATTGCGGAAGCGCCTGCGCAGCATCAAAGGAGCTGGGGCCGTCTAAGGCCCGCCGGCGCGGAAGGGGGCTGCCATCTTGGAAGCTCGCCGGCCCTGTTGGTAAATACTTGCGATCTGGTGTAACCTGGGACAGGTTGAAAGATGACTTCGGGGGTGGCGACGCGAGTGGGGACGCCTTGCGCTTTCGGGTCGACGCCGGCTCTCGGTTCGTGATCTCTCTAGGTCCATGAGTGATGTAACTCAGCTGACTAGGCTGACTGGGAGACGAGGGCGCAGAAGAGCCTCGATGTCCACCACGGCCGCCCTTGTACGCAACGCGGATCATTTCTTCGCGGGCCTCGGGAACAATCTCCCACTTCATACCTTTGCCTGGCTCGTCCGTGGTTCGAGGTGCTTTCATAAAGGACTTATTCAATGACAGATTGTGTCTTATTGAGTTCTGCGATTTGGTTAGCGCGGTTGTTGTAGGGGAAATATATATATATATTATAAACTTGCCTGCCACCCGGAAGGAGGTTGGTGTCGATAATAAGCATAATGCTTCGTGATATACTGATAAATCCCGGCAAGGTTTAACTTCTCCTCCGACGTGCTCATGATCGCCTGCGTGATCATTTGAGCATAGCTGAAATGAGGCTTGATGTGCTTGTTTTCATCTTTGCTTAAGTCTACATCACTCTGACTCATTATCACCGTACCGGAAGAGCCTTGTGCAGGTGTCTTCTGTTGAGAAGTAGTAGGGCGACTCTTGGCCGATGGCGGTGTGCCTGGCCGTCTGTAATCGGGGGGCGCCGGCGCGATTGGTTGCTGGAAGAGCTGGCCGCGGGAGGAAGAGGGTCGTGCAGGCTGCGAAGATGGATGATCTGCTGGAGGTGCCGTAGGAAGAGCTGTCCGTCCTGTTTCGCGCGCAGGGGTCGACTGCGAAGGTTTGATGCCAGCTTGTTCAAGGTACATAGGGTGTATATCGAGGGGTCCTAGGCTAGCAGGCAAAACGAACATCATCTCGATACCACCAATCTCAATAACCTCGCCGCTAGAAAGGGGATGCGGTGTATCCGTTTTCTTCATAGGAATGTTGTTGACCTTGATGCCATTGCGCCCCTTCGCCTGAATAAACCACCTTCCAGGGTCCGAGTCGTAGTAAATGATAGCCGTCTGGCGTGAGAACGTCTTGGAGGGACCAAGGTCGATATGAACAAACTCTTCATTCTCACGGTCTTGTCGAGGGGGGTGGGCATGGGAAGGTTCGGAAGTTCTACCGATATTGATAGACAGCGACTTGATGTAATATGTCCAGTCGTGTGCGGATATTTTGGCATAAGCCTCTATATCCTCGGTTTTGGCTTCGTGTATAGCATTGGCATGATCTTTGCTGGCCTGGGTTTGAATGCTTCGCAAATGTTGGGTTACTTGAGTAATTAGTCGATCGTCGTCGCTAGACCCTTCGGGCGCCGAGTTATCGAGGGTGAGACTTGAGCCCTCATCCTCGACGGTTTCCGAGACTGGTTCGTCGCCCTGTATTTAAATAAGGTTGTTAGTAGACGTAAGCGACAAGATAAAGCGCTGGGAAGGGTATTCACTTTTCTTCTGCGTTTAGACGGGCGCGACGGCGAGGATTGCTCCGGCGGGGCGGGGCTCGGACTAATATCGCGATGCCGGCGCGTCCTCTGTGATCGCTTCGATGACGGAGGCATACTATAAGCCCATTACAAGACAAAACCACGAGGTATTGGCGGGGTTTCCCAGATGACGCGGGCCGTAAATGAGAAGACAGCAGGTTTATGCCAATTTATAGACCTAGAACTAGTGGGACGTGCGACGGGGTAGGTTCAAGGTATAGCGCAAATAGGCGACAAAATTGGCGACAGAGTTGACAATGGTCTTACCCTATTAATACGAGATTTGTAGTCGCTTCAATCGCAAGACAAGATCGCAACTCTCTTGCGTATTTCGACCAAGTAGTTGCAGTTTGGTATAGATAAACGCAAACGTAAGCGGGGTATGATAAGTCCAGGACGTCAAGGGTTTGTTGAGGCTCAAGGGCTAGAAAATGTCGCGGTGGCGGCAACGTAGTATTCGACGCGGCAAGTGGGAAATGAAGCGCGCTGGTAAAGCAAAGGGAAAAAAAGTCGCAGAGGGTTTACGGCGCAAAGTATAAATATTTGGAAAGTATGATAGCAACCAGGGTCGTTACTCTAGATATGGTCGCCGGGGTTATAGAAGTGGAGGGAGAAGCTCGGAGGGGGCCAACACAATTTGGTTGCGGTGCGATGCGATGCGATTTGATGCGATTAGTTTTCAAATATTGACTTGGTGATGTGGTTTGTTTAAAAAAATGTCGATCGGTCGCGCCTCCCTCTTTCGTTACGCAACTTAAGGACATCCCTGTCACTTTGTCACCCACTTTCCCGCCGAGGCGCGTCACAGACTCACAGTCAGTCACCCTTTTAAGATTTTAAAATACCTCCAGCACCTCCCCCGCCTGAATTATTTTAAAGTGCCCCAAGCTCCTCTTTCCCTCTTTTTTGTGTACACATAAGATAAGATAATCCGTACATGTAATTGAGGCAATGCTGTTATGCAGACGCAGACCTATTTTTGTTGCTTCACGTTAGCAAGTAATAAGGCTAGCCTGCGCATTACTTCTATTATCGACATAATATATTTCTATACTCCGAATGTTTACTTTTTTATAGCAAACTCTTTAGCGCCCACTGTTTGCTGATTGACAGTTCTGCATCGCATCCCGCATCTCAAAAATACCTCTATTGACGCAGTGATCCCCGCAGTTCCGTCGAGATGCTTCCAATTCGCTATATTCAGATTCTTCACCCACTCACCCGCCCTCACCCACTGTAATTGGCCCAGGCTGAATCCAGAGCTGTCAGACCGCTTCTATTCTTTTCATATCTCGGCGCAAATAGTGTATCTAAAACCGTCCCAGGTCGGCTTATTCTTCAACCACTCACGACACTGCCACTTTTTATGGCTTAGTTGTCTTATACCATTACTGACCTACTAGCCTTGTCAATCAGCGTCTTACAGAATATGAACTTTTACTTCAGGAGCTCTCAGTTTCACTATTATGTATATTGACTATTAGGGAGATGGGTGTAAGTGGTTTGTCGGTTCGCTAGACTTCGGGAGGAGCCGTCAGCCGCGGCCCACGGTTGAACCAGCTCCAATAAGACTGTCCTTGACAAACATCTCGAATATTCCGAAATGGTTACCTGATGTGGCTTCGGACTAAGTATAAGTATAGACAGTCTAAGTAACATTAGTATTACAATGGTAGTCATTTATCTCGTACAGTATTAGTGAACAAAAGATCGGAGATACTATTCCTTCATAAAATGTACAGTCATAGCACAATTCAGATCGAGAACCATTCACCAATGAATAGCAAATAGTCATGAATTTTAAACCACTTACCTATGCCTAGGTAGTTATCCTTTTTAAGATATGTACTTGCTGATCCGTTGTGGCAGGCATGCAGTCACGCATGTTGGAGCTATTAACATAGGCTGATAGGTAGTCATCTCAGACAGCAGTGCTATACGAGACCTTGATTAATAAGCGTGTCTAAAGTATGTAACTATTTCTTGATGAAGACAATCACAAATTTTGTGTCAGCGCATAGCTTAAACAATCTAACTTGCTAAATTATAATGGCCATATTAGACTACCTAGGTTACTGGCTAATGACATGTTAAATACTATAACGAAACCTAAAATAAGTATATATTGAAGTGGTTCCAGGTTATACAGTTCAAATCACTCTACTAAACATCAGTCGATGATAAACGCATCGTCTTCACGCGTTATATCCGCCTATTGTCATATCTACCTTATACTTGCACCGCAGGCAAAAGGTCCTCTTTCAGCTCGGTGGAACGTCAGACAACCCATTTATATTCCTGAAGGAGACAAGGTTCCCCTAGATAATCCGAAGAGGAGGAGATAGGAGGTAAGCCTCGGTCCTTAGGGTTGACGGGGTATGATTCCGGCTCCATGTCTCACAGCAGGCTACGGCGATATCTCCACCACCGCCATCACGGCTATGAAGTCTATTTCGGTATGGCTTAGCCGAACCGTGAGGTCGTTGCCATAATTGGGGTCAATCAAGCCACCGCAGGGTAACACCTGGAGGGTCTCATTCAAAGGCCATTATCCTAGACCGCAAGAGTGAAGATGCAACATGAGCATGCAGAGAGCCCAAAGATATAGGCTGGGTGCGTATCAGCCTCGTTCTTGAGCAAATCTTAGTCTATGTTATGTATTGATAGAAAGAGCTGCAGCACCGGAAGGTCGTAGCGCATATTAGCGCACATCGTAGTTACCCCAAAGGCACGGCGCCGGATCTCGCAAGGAAAGCACACCCCGCATTATTGGTCATTAGGCGCAATAGTACATTCCATATAGTACATATGTAGTCCTTGCTTTAATAAGTGTAACCGAGCAAACCTTCCAAGAAGTAAAAGTTACCTATAGCCTTCCGGATTGATAGGTAGTAGTACATAGGTAATATGTATTAGACTCGATTTACCTAATTGGCGGACTAGTCGCGTGGTGTTTGCTAAAAACTACAACAACAGCTCTAATCTAACTAAACCCACCAACACCTAACCGCCCACCAAACATTACTACAAGTCTCCAATCAAAGAGCGATCATCTCTCAACATGTCTTTAAAATACATTCCATCTACAATGTTGCCTGCTATATACTACAGCGCCGACAGAGGTTTTCAGTCGGATTAGGTACCATCGTGCGTGTCATACACCGCCACAAGCTGTCTACCTACATCGATAAACGCTACTCAAACATCAAATTCTCTCACCGGGGCATGACATGATTCGTGCTGGGGGTGTAACAACCGGGAATTAGGAATGTCAGTGACACGTCTCCAGCAGTAGCACCAAACGTTCGCATGTGGCATGGCTAGGTACCTGTGCATTGCCGAATACCTTATCCAGGGCTCCGGTCACCCCTCGTTTCTCGGCCCGTGTTATACCCATGTCATAGGCCCGGAAGTATAAGGACGACTATCCAAAGCTGACCACTCGGGCCGGTTCTGATAATCTAGTAGCACAGGTAATGGGCGCTTGAGCAATACCTATCTACATGTTTAAGCTTGGCAGCTAAAACTGACGGGGATTGGCTCATTCAATAGTCTTGTCTTAGTCGTACGGCAGCCCAGGAACCTATCGGGTCTTCTGTAAACGCACGACTAATCAAGTACTGTTTTCCGGATGGGTGCCTCTTTATGCGAGCCTCTTTACTACGGGTTGTTTTACCAGCACTCGGGTTAAGTTCCGAGTCGTGGCATCGTTTTATCATAATTTCTTCAACACCACGCCGAAGATGCTACTCCCATCCTCCTAGCTCTCCGTTACAGGTCACCTATGTAGTAAGGATGAGGCGGCGTTACTTTGAGGTCGGGTACCTAGTCTACAAATATCTGCGATTTCGGCTTTCCTGCGATTACATCGTTGTGATGTGCAGCTGACAGGGATCTGCTGAAGAATTCAGTCCAGCCCTGCCGACAAATCTCGCCGGTTACAGTGTTACTCCAGCTTGCAGGAGATGTGGGTGTTTACGATAGCCAAGGAAATCGGGAGGGTTGCTTTGATTCAGCCAATCACGCATCGACTGTAGGGTAAGTTTATATTGGCGGTGAGATGTTGCAACATGATCGAATTACCAAGTGTTTGAAGACCTCCCTCTCGCCATTGGTTCCGAAACGGTTAGTAGTTCGTTGACTGGACATATCAGCTGGACTTCCATAATTTTTCCTGGGCAGCAAGACTAACTACCTACCTTTCTAGTCATTAGATCTCGTGTGGTTCCTATTTACTCCATACTCTACAAGATATCGTCTAGTCTCCAGGGATCCACGTCTTCGGTGAAAGCATCAAGGCCACCACCTGCCGGCTGGTTGCTTTTGATTCGCTTGGACTATGCACTCTAGCATAATAATGACTTTAGCTAGCCAGCGTCTGCCTGCGGTGCGTACATCCGGCAATACTTCCTTGAGTGCATAACTATCTCTCTCTGTGATTGGACACGATCAGTCCAGTCGGGCGTAGTCTAGCGTTACTCGAATGCCATGCCATTTTACGCTTACAAGACGGAACAAAGGACGATCGCCCGACGATCCCAGGAATGCAGGTATAAAACACCCATGGAGGCCGAGTCCATTCCCCGGAAACAAAGGTAGATAATCAGGACTGTCTCACTCTAGCAAATCCCTTCACAGCCGACACCATGCTCGTAGAACAACCCAGAGACATCACACAAGGCCATCTAGAGAAGAACAGCCTACTATGGCGGTCGACAGAAACCGAAGCCGTGAAACCAGTACTCAACGACGACATCACGTCTAGTACTTCGTCGTCCCCATCAACACCCAGGGATATGGATGATCCCTGTCGGCGTCTTGCCGTGAGAGGACAGGGAAATTATATATATCTAGCAGATGGACGTGAAATACTGGATGCCTCTGGAGGGGCGGCTGTTGCTGTGAGTAGACTAGCTATTTAACTTTAGAGGCTCTCGGCCCTAGACCTAGGAGCTAAAGTCTCTGGATATTAAGAGACATTACTGCTACCAAGTTATCTCCTAATGGGAAATTCACTAACCTCTACTAAATAGTGTCTCGGACATGGCGTTAAGGAGGTCGCTGATGCAATTATCACCCAGACTGCCTCTATCTCCTACGTTCCTTGGGGCTTCATGGATAGCCAGAGCCGACGAGATCTGAATAGATGGCTATCGCAAAATTCTAACGGGCACTTCACGAAGACATGGGTCACATCATCTGGTATGTTGTATTCCCGTAGCTCTATCGTGCGGGCTCCTACTAAATCTCGCTTGTCTTCCAGGTTCCGAAGCGATGGAAGGCGCAATAAAGCTTGCTCGCGAGTACTTTACGTGGATTGGGCAGCCGCAGCGCGTGAATTATATCGCTCGGGATGAGTCGTATCATGGGATTACGCTGGGCGTGCTGTCTGTGGGAGGTCACGTAACTAGAAGAATTCCGTTTGAACCACTTCTGGTACCCAACATCTATCATATACCGGCGTGTAACCCTTATCGCCAAAGACTTCCCAGAGAGTCTGACGACGAGTTTGTCTCCCGCAAGGCAGAAGAGCTCGAACAGGCGTTCCTCCGGGCTGGCCCAGATACCGTAGTAGCATTTGTCGCTGAGCCGGTCGTCGGAGCAGCAGCTGGCTGTATGCCATCCGTCAATGGCTATTTTAAGGCGATGAAGGCCGTATGTGATAAGTATGGAGCTCTACTTATACTCGACGAAGTCATGTGTGGCATGGGAAGAACAGGCACCCTCCACGCCTGGGAACAGGAGGGTGTCACTCCCGATATACAAGCGGTTGGAAAAGGCCTTGGAGGTGGTTACCAACCCGTCTCGGCCATATTAGCTAGCAGGAAGATCACACAGGTGATGGAAGCCAAGGGTGTCGCTTTTACACACGGGCACACGTATATGGATCACCCCGTCACCTGCGCGACTGCCCTGCGGGTACAGCAGATCATACAACGCGATAACCTGCTTCCCAACGTCCAGGCCCAGGGCCAGTACCTAGAGAAGCTACTCCGCAACAAGCTACAGAACCACCCCAACGTCGGCGACATCCGGGGCCGCGGCTTATTCTGGGGCGTCGAGTTCGTCCGGGATAAACAGACTAAAGAGCCGTTCGACCCTAAACTTCAGATCGCGCGCCGCGTCCACGAGACGGCCCTGGAACCTCCGCACAACTTGTCGCTGTATTTCGGCCAAGGGTGTGCCGGTCAAGGCAAGGGCGACCACATCATGATCATGCCCGCGTACAACGTCACTCAGGACGTTGTAGAGACGATCGTCGATAAGTTCGCGGCTGTTCTCGCCGACTTCTTTAGCCAGCTGGAGAAAGAGCACGGAGCCGAGCAAGACTAGGTGTCTCTACATCCTGAGTCCGAACCTGTTGGTCATACAATAAATATCTAGCAATCTTACTCTTATTTCTGTTGGTTTCTACCCTCGTTGCATCGATGCGCTCTATGCGTATCTCGTTGGTCTATCGTCATTCACGAGGAACTTCTAACGAGAGCAAGAGGTGGAATAGAACGTGGGTGCTGCGTGTATGCTAGTTTCCGTTCTGTATTCATTACATATGAAATTATCTCTACTATTTTCATCTAACACAATTACAATGTCTGTTATTTGTTGCTTTAGCAAGTAGTACGGGCTGGTTATCTAGATGGGAGTAGTCGTCTCGACGGGATCTCTTGGGATATAACGACTACATATACGACGGACATGAAGTAGTTCGCGGTTTAGATTATATCAGGTAGTCATTATGAACACTCTTTATACAACCGACTTCGATCTCGAAATATGTCGGGATTCAAGCTCGTGAATAAGAGACTTATTACGGTTTCGTTACGCATCTACTATGTTTACTAGCACTAAATTACAACAACGAAACCTGCCGGGATGAATAGGATATATTGTCGTAGATAAATGACATCTAAGCATCAGATTCCACCTAGACGGTCTACGAGCGTATATACTAGTATAGTAGTAAACGCCCATTATTCATAATCCCCCTTCCTACTTCGTGGGTAGGTACCTAGGTACCTAAGGTACGTCCAAGTCCTAGGCTAGAGCAACAAAACTCGGGGTCTTCGGACTAGGTCTCGCGTATATTATCTGTCTCTTAGCTCTTTGCCACAGGCGGGCAGAACGCAACGAGCACCTAATCTGCCTCGTGACGTCCCTACATGCCGCTTACGCGTTACATCGCATGTCTAGCACGAGTGGGTCTATAGCTGTGCTTCAGCGCAGAGCGGTGGCCGTGGCCGTCAAGCGGATTGACCGGTTTCGGGTTCGTCGGGATGTGGCCCAGTGGGTAGGTGGTAGTAGCGGATCGTAAAGGATGCCGACGATCGGGCCGTATCGGTAACGTGCGTATGGCTTTTTTTCGGCCCGTGGGTGTGGCTGGTGGGAGGCAGGGAGGGAAGGAGGGATTATGCGGTGAGCGTTTACTATGTGAGAGGTCCTCTAGACAAGGATGGTCCGTGTGGATGTGAATGTGAATATGAATGTGAGTGTGTATGTATGTGCAATCTCGTTGCTAATGAAGCAAGCAGTCGCTTAGATGATGCGTGACATCGGATGGGCATATTCCGACGAAAGAGCCCAATAGGAGCGTTAACGGCTAAGAAATCGTCTTTGCTTCTAGATGCCTTGGATTCGAGGCAAAGCTCTGGTAGTAACGTATAAGCGTCACTGTAGGTGTCCATCAAACTGCTGTTAAATTGGATCTGTGCAACGTGATCGCTTCTTCGAAGAGGGTGGCACGACAATGCAACTCAGGCTTTCGATACCGGTGGCTACCTGTCCAGGTGGGACGGGAATGGTCCCCGAGCTCCGCTTGTGTGGGTAAGAGGAGGAGAGAGTATACCTAGCTGATATTGGTGTAGAGAAGTGTAAAGAAATGCTGAGACGGGCTTCTCGGATCCAGGAAGTTACAGGTTTTCGGTTGTATTGTAAAACGAGGCCGTTCTCTTTTCCACAACTAATGGTGGGAGACTGAGTTTTCACTCATCATCATCGTCATCGCTATCACTAGACCAACCCTCCTTGTAGCTGTCGGCGATCTCAGCAAGTTCGTTACCTATCGTCTCACGATCTTCTAGACCGATGGAGCGGATAACAGCACTGCGTAAAGCTTTCACTTTATCCGTGACGGTTGAATCCGTAGACAAAGCCGTCTGGATAGATACGCGATCTTTCATTGGATGGCCATTGCTATCCCGAAAAATCTTAGGGTAGCTGTCAATGATTGGGAAAGCAACTAACGACCGATAGCTGTGACACTGGTTAGCCTCAGAAGAAAAAAATGTTTTCAAGGACGATTCAAGGGGGCTTGTTATCGACCGGCTAGACCTACTTGTGGACTTTCGAACGACGTCGCATGCCATACATGTCCCTCATCTCCAGTTCATCGTCGCGATTGGCTGGCTCTAGGCTCTCTGGCCCTCTATCAGCTAGAATTTGGCTGAAAATACGCCGTCGCCGCCGTCTCCTATAATCCTGGTTAAGATTGAGGTCCTGAGGAGAGGATAAGTCTATGTCCAGAGTTGCGGTCCCTTTCTGCGAGCCGGACTCGGAGTCAGCATCGTGATCTATGCTGGCGCCGTATAAGTTTCGCATACGTTCATCCCGTCCGTTCATGGCATCGGCGCTTCCGTTTACGCCGTTTGTACCATTCCCATTCTGTTGAGACTTTTGTGGCTCAAATATACTCATCTCTAGGTTCGCGATAGTTTGCTTTCCAAATACGTTGAGAAGGTCAGCAATATTTCCAAGATTGCTTGAATAGACGCGATCAGAGGTCTTCAAGCGTGTGCACAGAGTTGTGCTCTCCAAAGCTGCGGCGAACAAAGCAGTTATATGCCAGGTTGATGTAGGGTCCAGCCGCACAGATAGGGGTAGAGGGGTCTCCGGTAGCGCAAGTGGGATGATTAGAGATGCCTGTGAGTTAAATTCCGCAAGAGCTCGCGCTTTGTTGGCAAGCTTTAGTAATCTCTTTTCCTAGTTAAGTATAAGTGATGAACGGCAGCATAAGTGTTGAAGTAGAGACATACTCTTGATAAACCTCTATTAGGCTCTTGAGCCCCTAAAACCCAAATAGGGGTTTTACCATATTCATCCCGAAGCCGCTCCATATACTTGGCCGCAAACCCAGCCCAGGCATCATCGATACCTGTCATGACCTGGAGGCCTTGCATCTGATCAGCCTCCTCAACGAAGGAGCGTAGATCTCGGTCTAAAAGGTCGTGCTCCTTATCTAGCGTAGCAAAAAGCTCTTCCCCCATATGCCACTTTTCAAAAGGCATGACGGTCGAGTTGAGCTCGTATTCGCTCAACTGGATAATAGACTTAGGGTGGAAGAAGACACGGTTGAAGTCAGACCAATACCTAACTGTACTCGTGGTAAGTTCTGGCGGTGCTTGACCAGCTTCAAGGCTCTGTTGATATGAACTCGCCTCTATGGGCTGTTGTCTTTGCACTATCGTCTGGCCAGACCATAGACTATTCGAGGCTGCATCATTGTCGATATCATATAGAGCATTGATCTTCCGTAAGGTTCCAAAGCCTCCTTTTAGGTCATAGATGACTGTCCTAGGCGTATATGTCTCAGAGCCATCAGAGCCGATGCCCGGTCTGAAGTGGACGTCATGATCAATAGGTGACTCCTCGTCAGCGCCATATGTGAAGTATGATTCCTGAGCATTCCAGAAATGGGTTGCTAGATAGTTGCTCTGCTGGCCGAGTTGCAAGGTAATGATCTCACGCATCGTAGAAAGACGCGATTTACCTACGCAGATAATTTAGGTAGAGAAGAGCCTAAGACTGGAAGAGTATCTAAGGATGTATACAATGAGATGTTTTATGCAATATTCATAAGATGTAGGTAGATAAGATAAATCTTTAAGGCCGTTAATTGCCGCCGATAAAGTTTCATGTCCTTATCGCAACTGACGTATCTGCATAATTTATAGTTTCAGAGTTTAGGTATTTACCTTAGGTACATAATTCAACCGACCCATTTCAAAAATTACGCAGCTCTTCCATCATTCTCCAAATAATTCGTATATATCGGTATACTAGATTACTTACTACATATATTACCAGACCAGTGCCATAGGTACCTAACATACTATCAACAATGTCCCTAGCTCAGGAGTGGGAATCCTTCAAGACACCTCCCGCCAAGGAGGTAGCACCAGTTCCGCAAGTCGGCTCTCCAGCTCCCGTACATCCCAACCTCGCCCTCCCAACGGACAAACCCACCGTTATCGTCTTCCTACGCCATTGTGGTTGTCCATGTAAGCCATAGGCCACACCCGAGATCCTAGAAGCCGTCATCATACGCATACATCTAACCGTGTAAACTCCTCATAGTCGCAGAAAAGGCCTTCAAGAACCTAACCTCGACATCGACGCAATACAAAGACGTGCACTTCATCGCGGTCTCGCATTCCTCGCCCGAGGCTACGGAGCGCTGGGTCATTGAGGTCGGCGGCAACTGGGAGGTGCAGGTGGTCGTCGACTACGAGCGAGAGCTGTACGCGCAGTGGGGTCTGGGCATCGGGACGACGTGGCAGATCATGGGCCCCATGTCCCTGTACAAGACATTCCGTCTGGGCAAGGACGAGAACATATGGAACCGCGCCACCGAGAGCGGCAACAGGTGGCAGACTAGCGGCGCTTTCGCCCTCGATCAGGATGGTATCGTGAAGTACAGCAGGGTCGCTGCGTCCTCCAGTGAGCTCCCGGATCTGGAGGCCGCCCTGACGAGTCTTGGTGTAAAGGTCAAGCCGAAACCGCCGCCGGAGCCGAGGACGGACGGGTTCTTGTAAGCGGGAAGCTAGGCATGATTCCCGCGAGGAAGATAGTGTCCTACGTCCGGCAGTCTAGGGCTGGGGTGTATTGGATGCTTGCTATGGGCAATACTACGAGTTGTTGTTAATAAGAGATAGATTGCGTTTTGCGTGTGGTAGAATGGTTTATGTGGCTTCTTGATATACCATAAGTTCTAAGACTGGAATTAATGATCATGAATAATGCGATAAGAATAACTTTATTTGATACTTGTTCATCACCGGGTTCACTTCAATGTTGTTAAAGATTGCAATCTAGCTTTCTGGATCAGTCTTGTAATTACAAATATAGTATTACAGTCAAGTCTCCTGCTGGTTTGTAGGTTAGTATTGTTAGTAACAGACTTATAGCTGCAGTTATAATCAGCTTAGACACATCAATGTAAGATAGTTCACGAGTAAAAATATCAACAATCTACAAGTGAGATGGTATGTATTCACAAATATCAACGATTTCGACTCGATACATAGGTAGATATTTAGATGCCAACGCGTTACCTACTTAGGCATCCCGACACATCTCCGAATGTGTCGGTTGTTCGCTTTGTTAGTAGATGCTACGTGTTATTTATATGGCTTATAATCTAAGGTTAAACTTATTATACTTAACTACCCCATAACGGGAGATACCGGCTGAGCTTTGACTCTATCTGTGATTTAAGCTTAAGATTTGGTGCCTGTTTCGTCATCCCGACGACTCATAATCGACTCACAAACCAATTCCTTGGCACCGCATAGTCCCATGTGAAGGTGAATACACAACGTCCTGCTGCCCTTGGCGCGCAAGCGCATTACGCAGGAGAGTCAAGAGTCAACAGTTTATTGATTCCTCATATACCTCATAGCCGTTATGACGTTAATATTAAGTTTCTCTTCAGGTTTACCATATTAGTAAAGCTAGAATAAGAAGAGCTAATAGAGGTAATTATAGTAGATCCTAATCTTTTAGGGGTAAGGCTGACATATATGATTCATAATAGTCTTTCTACATATAAGTCAATATCATGAAGCCTTGCGAGAGGCTACCCGGTAAGCAGCTCAGATGCCTGAGCTTTACACGAGCTTTAACCTTCTACCTATTAACGCTTCACGCTTACCGGAGCCAAATACTACTTAAATGACCCTCGAATAGACCTTACTACTTTCGTCGTGTCGTTGCGAGGAAAGACCATTAAAAAAAAATAAGAAACGACAAGTAATAAAAGGCAATATCCAGAGGCTAACCTTCAACAATACATCATAAAATAACAAGACACTACCATCTATATGGTTCTTCGATATGTAAATGCATATTAAACTTCGAGGCTAAGCCACACCATGATTTACACTTTCATCAATAAACCTACCAAAGTAAGTTTAGAGAAAATGGGGTAACAGAAAAGGAGAAACACACTCACCAGGACTTCTACACACAATCGTTCCCATCGACAGAGATATTCTGGATCCCCTATTATGCGCTGGGTTATCTTAGTGTAATGATCAATGTCGTAAGCTAGATAGACTACATGCCTTGTGGAAGTAAACAATGCCGTTAATAGCCTCAAAGTATAATACGAGTTACTCTCTCGCCATGAGGCTCTTGCGTCATTAAATGAATTTAGATTTGGTTCCTATTGGCGCTGTTAGTATCTCGCTAGATGGCTCACTTGAGGCTATGCACTTACCCGTCATTAGGACAATATCATCGAAGTTGAAAGACACGATAGTGCTAATAATAGGTACCGGTAAACAACAAGAAATTACTTTAATAGTCGCCAACAAGAACGCCGTCAGGATTTAATCTGTTATATTATCGTAGCTATAAACAAATACATATTCTCGTGATCATCTGACTTGATAATTAGAGCCTTCATGACTCTAATATTATTCTTGCGGAACTCAACGAACCTATAAGCAATGGTTTATGTAGAGAACACCTACCACAAGGAGTTAAAACCCGCCTAGCTCGATCCTCAGATCCGATCGGAACATGCCATGTGGTTTTCTGGTGCCGTCTACGACGCCAGTCAATCCGCGATCGTGAAATACTACCGACGGACCCGGGTTGTGTAAAGAACAAAACAAAAATTTTCCGCTCGAAATAATATCCATAGGGCGAGACTGTGCTCGATATAGTAGCTGCTAAGTTGTCAATGTTCCTCCAGCTGCGTTTTATGGAATAGTCTTTCAGCCGTCAAGGCTGAGGATCTATTCCTTCGCTCTTTATTAGGCGGGTCTTCCACGTGCCTCGCCGACGGAAGAGGTTCGCCTTCTAAATCGGTCAATAACTTCATCTTTCTATTAGATCCTCCACTCGGCACAAATCAGATCAATCTTTGCAGTGGCGGAGCTGGGTATCACGGCACAGAAATTTAGGTTTGTGGCGTTCATGATCTCCAATGGCACATGCTCTAGATATTCCGTCTAGTCTGGACCCCGATCCGATCCCGAAATAGCATCCTTAGTCTGGACATTCGCATATACGGGGCTAGTGATACCCAACTCTCCGGGTTGAGCTTACTATTGGAAGGATTCGACCTTTTGTTTGCGCCTGCATAGAGCATCAAGTAATGATGCGGCGAGGGGCTGGTCTTCGCAACTTTCGGCCCGGACAGAGACATTCATGATCTGCGAAGATATCGCCATTAGTTGGCATATCGTTGAACCCTGGTCCCCGTCAAGAACGCTTCTGGACGTTTTAACGTTTATGCCGCAGTGGACTGCCAAGCAGAACATTCAGGGTTCGCGCAAGGCGAGAGCCAAGCAGCCCCCCGTGACGAGTTTCAAAAGACGATCTCTCCCTGTCGACGGGGCCGGCAGAGTCCCGGTTAGCTTATTCGACGACTCAACCACGGATCAGTCTGGACTCGAGAGGTCTTCGAGATCCCTAGACGACATAATTCGTGAATGTGTAGCAACACTCGCCTATGGGTGCCTGGAACTGCCAGTAAGCACAGAGAACTATAGCTCCTAAGTTTCATATATGACTTTGAATTAAAGTAGTGGCGCTTATGGGATCTGGAGAGGGGGATGAGTAGTAGTACGGCGGATAACTGGACGGGTGTGGGTGGTTGCGATCCTACAAGTCATAGCTCGGGCATATGACGACGTTGAAGATGCGAATTGTCTGTCGGTCAGATGGGATTGTACATAGTATGGTGGACGCTATAATTACCTAGCGCCCATACTTCGATATGGTCGGCGCCAGGTAACTGTAGAGTAGACTTTTAAGAAGGCTGAAACAGGAATCACTTGGCTGCCAGCGTTTCAGAAATAAACGTTGGCAGGGGAGCTTAAACCAAATGCACCAACGACCCACGAGGAATGTCACTTTGGCAGCTCAATAGCGTCGTATTGTAGGCAGGGGCTCGTAATTCAGAACTCTCTGATTGCAGATAAAATACATGGCTGGTGACGATTGGGGAAGGTGTAAAATGTCCGAAGAAATGAAACAAGTAGATCTCTGGGGAGCCAAGAGGCTAACCAGTCTTGCTAGTAGAGGCCATCACGACTTCGAAGGAAAGTAAAGCCGAGTTATGAAACAGACAGACAAACAAACCATCATGATAGCAGCTTTCATCGGTATACCGAGGTCTTCAACCGATGTAAAGCTCGTGAGATTTTGAGGTATATAGAAATCCGTAGTTCATATTTGCTGGTAGATGACGAAAGCTTAAGGGTCCATGGTAGTGTAGTGTACGTGCGCGCTGCTAACATCCGTGATCGTGCTTCACTAAATTAATTTCAATCCCGCAACTCTTGTGCCACTATGCGTCTTGCCGCCAACGTGACATCTAGGACTCCGAATAACTCGCCGGATAGGCTGGAGCTAACGACAGTGGCATGTACGCACGCGCCCAAAGCGCGCATTACTCCGGCGATGGGTACGGATTATAGGCGGCATGATACCGCAGTAGTAGTGGGAATTCGGCGGGTCATCATTTCTAAATCGATCGACCTGGGCCGCGATGGAGAGCTGGTGTGATGATGGGCTTGGGTAGCACGGGCAACCCTATGCTGGGCTGCAAAAATCTCATCGCATTTCATAATTCTATGCCCATTCTGGAAGAACTTGTGACAAGCTATGCCTGTTTCACGTACTTGGCTAAAGAGAGCAGAAGGGCCTACCCTTAGACAACCCACATCCCAAGGCCGATGGTGCCTGTTTCAGAGAGTCGTGGGCGGGGTCCAAGAGGGCTGACCGCATAGCGAGAATGCAAGGTACCCGGGGGTGCTCGAGGCTGGGGGTCTTGAAGATTGATAGCTGTACATAGTAGTTGGCTTTGGCTTTTGTGAGGAGTATGAAAGGATTCGCCCGGTGCTTTGTCTACCGCAATGTTCATGCAACTATTCAGGCACACCAATGAGATCATCCATCCCGCCTTACGTCCTGTGATTCGGTAGAATATCGAGCATAGACATGATAGTTGAGTACGACCACAACGGCAACACCTCGAGATGTTTCAACAACGTTCGTTATGTCGAGTCCATCGTGTTTCAGAATGGCTGCTGCAGCTTGCAGTACTATGTAGATCCAGTAGAGAGAATGTACGAAGTACTGGTCACATCTTGGTATCGAGATCGCTAATTCTTAAACTAACTTAGACTAAGCAAGGCGTTCCTGGATCCGAAGCCACAGCTGGATTGGCTTCTCGTATTGGATTACTTAAATTAATGGTTCATTGATAGGTCGCCTGTATGTACTCACATGTGCATGTGGGGGTCAGGAATAAGAAAAAGGTGGCTTACGAAGCTTGGTCGAGTTCAAGTTTATGGTAGCTCGAAATTACCTTGGGTACATCATTTAGGTAGTATATACATGTACATCTTGCGCATAATATTGCCAGTTTTAGGTAGCCTTAGGTAAGAGCAATTGCCCTACATACCTTATAGTAGGCGCGGTGCTTGCCGCTCTCGATAAACCGATAAAGCCGTACATAGTGTTAGCTTCATAATGACCCGCAGCATAGTCTTTTTTGGACCATCTGACTGGCGTCAGTCTCTCACCACAACCCAATCAATTATAGTATACCCATCCTCTGACGTGCTTACTTGCTTTCTTCCCGTCCTCCCCCCCCTCAGAGGCGAAAACTAAGAATAAACTTGGTCTGTCTTTGCAATCATTAACGGAAGGGCAGAGCCGCCAGTTTGCGAATGCCCTAATGCTTGTCCATTCGCTAGACCCACCGCTTACCGAAATGCCGCCATCCACCTTCTATCTCTAGCCAGCGGATATAATGCCAAGAACTCGGACGGCACAAGATCTATGGTTCAGATATGATAAAGATTTCTATTTATGTCGTGGCTGCGGCCGCGGCCAACGGCAGCAAACAGTATGTACCTAAAGAATCTGAAGGAGCCAATCAACCACCTGAA